AATTTGTTAACTTCATCAAAGTGTCGCCATCGGACCTTGAAGCCTCGATAATTTCACGCTGGTACCCTTAGCAAGTTTCATGTCAATATGACAAAGCTTCTTTTTAAACCAAAAAAATCTACAGTCAAATCAAATCGACAACGAAAACATGTGTTATCTACTATAGTTTTTAATCAACAACAGTTGTATATATCAAAGCAGACAAAAATGATGACATTGATAAACCTTCCGGGTGTAGGAATACCTACTTTGACATGAATCAGATGATTGTTTAATTTATGCACAAAAGCTGGCACGCCCATATAGTCAGTAGCCAGTCAGTGGAGAGTAGGATCAAAACTAAGTTCATAGGACCTGTCAATCAAGGAAAGAGGCGAGAAGAACTGCAACAGTTAGACTGTAATGAACCGGAACAAAGATGTCCGGGAGAACGCGGCTGTTTCAAATGACATGGGCAGTAACCACCAGATTCAAACATTAGTTCCCTGAGAACGGGAAGACACAGTTGATTGGTTGGTTGGTTGGTTGGTTGGTTGGTTTGCTGTTTAACGCCGCACTCAGCAATATTCCAGCTATGTGACGGCGGTCTGTAATTAATCGAGTCTGGACCAGACAATCCAGTGATTAATATCATGAGCACCAATCCACGCAATTGGGATACCATGACATGCATCAACCAAGCCTGACCACCCGATCCCGTTTGTCGCCTTTTACGACATAGTCACCTTTTACGGCAAGCATAGTCACCTTTTACGACAAGCATAGTCACCTTTTACGACAAGCATAGTCACCTTTTACGACAAGCATAGTCACCTTTTACGGCAAGCATAGTCAACTTTTACGGCAAGCATGGGTTGCTGAAGATCAATTCTACCCCGAATCTTCACGGGTCAGACACAGATGGAAAAATGCGAAATGAAACCCGAAGACATGAAATTTGTGGAATCCAGGCGAGCGGACTTAAAAAATAGGAGAGCAAGCTTGCACTTTTGCTGTTTCATTCCTTCTCCGCCTTCGGTCTCAAAGGGTAGTTTGGACAATGAATATGCATGAATTTCCTGAGCATGACGTTACACGTGAGCAGAAAGGGAATTACATCGCGTGTCATATTTGGGTTCCCCGAAATTCCGCTGCAATAAAAGTATTCCGCTTCGGTGGGCGTGGCTTATGTTTTTACATTCATTTGGAAATGAATGAAAAAAACCCACATGACCAATTCAGCTAATCAGAATGCAGGAATCACAATGAACACAACGAAAATGTGATTATTTGCATATGTAACTTGGCTATATAGAGCATTCAGCTTGTTGCGATGTGCCAGTGCGCTAGGATTGCCTAATCAGCGTCCAAAATACCGACCACTGTGCAACCCTCCTACAGGTGTGATAAAAATCAATAGAAAATTCCAAAAATATCGAGGTGATGTTAAAGGTTTATCGGAGTCCGTTATAACATAGATTTATTTAGTGTGGATATTGATTCGTAACAGCTGCAATAAAAATAAAAATATATATTGTAAGTGCATTACACGTTGTTTCATGTGACTGGTTGACCATGAATACATGTCTGAGCAAAGATCAATGCAAGCCTCAAGTTATCATTATATGGTGTTCACACAGGTGTCATGACGTGCAGCACCTGAGGTGAGCAAGATACATAGAGATTTGGTTTGGTTTGTTAGTTATTTAACGCAGCACTCACCATTATAATCATAAAAAGTCCATTTTCCTCAACTATCATAATTTCAAAACGGGCCTTATTTGCACTTATGTGTTGTATTCAGACACCCAAATATACAGAGGAGCAAAAGAAACTATACCTCACAGTTGTTTTTATCATATGTTTGATTTTTAATTGATTTTAACAGTCTGTTTGTTTATTGTTTTACGCCGCACTGAGCAATATTCCAGCTATATGACGGCGGTCTGTATGAAATCGAGTTGAGTTGAAAACAGTTCCAAATTTGTTTTTCAAAAACAGTACCTATTTGTTCTTGTTTGTTGTATTCAGATACCCTAATAAACTTAAGAGCAAAGGACACTTTACCTCTCAGTTGATTTTGTCATTTGTTTGATTTGCAAATGAAAATATCATCAGCAATATTATATCCAAAAACTAACTGTACTGGCGCTTAGTCAACACTCAAGGAATAGTTTACATGGTATTCGAATTCTGTCTTAAAATAATCCGGTGATTGACCTCATGAGCATCGATCCACGCAATTGGGATATAGTGACATGCATCAACCAAGTTCGCGAATCTGACCACCCGATCCCGTTAGTCTCCTCTTTTACGACAAACATGGCTTGCTGAAGACCTATTCTACCCCGGATCTTCACGGGTCTGAGATACATAGAGATTACTAAACGAGTGTCTGTCATTTAAGATACTTACAACGCGGGTTCCAAAGGCGAGTTTAATACCTTTTGAAACATCGAGTTGTAAGATAAATGGTATCTGACAGGCATGAGTGCTGTAATCTGTTTTGTACACACAAACTGAACTAAAACGATTAAATCCCTTGATCCATATGTCACTAAACGTGGAGACTATAAATATAATTACATATCTCTCTTCAGGGTTCAGGACAATCTGTTTACAGAAATGCTGGACTTCCTAAACGATATCCCGTGAAGATTCCGGGGTAGAATAGGTCTTCAGCAACCCATGCATGCCGTAAAAAGCGACTATGCTTGTCGTAAAAGGCGACAAACGGGATCGGGTGGTCAGGCTCGCTGACTTGGTTGATACATGGCATCAATCCCAATTGCGTGGATCGATGCTCATGATGTCAATCACTGGATTGTCTGGTCCAGACTCGATTATTTACAGACCGCCGTCACATAGCTGGTTTTATTGCTCAGTGCGGCGTTAAACAACAAACCAACCAACCAACCAACCAAAACGATATCATTCATGTAAAATTTTGGGGTAAGACATTTACTAAAGAAGTAGGCAAATATGCTCCCCTTCTTGCTGATATCGTTCTTTATGCATATGAAGCTTCTGCTCTATTGGCAAAGGCAAAACAAGGTTATTTGGTCAAGAAGTTTAACTGATGCTTCAGGTATACATCTGGTATAGTTAAAAAACTATGAAACAGCCAACCCCCTTCCACTGATTTACCAACCGGAACTAGAAATAGAGGAGACCACAGAGACCGCCTCGTCTGTCTCATATTCAGATCTATGCATAAGGATTCAGAGTGACAAAACACTCTCCACAAGACTGTATGACAAGAGGGATGACTTCAACTTACCAATCGTCAACTTTCACTTTTTGTCCAGCAACCGTCCAGCCTTTGGTGTCTTCGGAGGTACACCGAGCATGCCTTGGTGTATCAAGGACCTTTCGATATTTGCCGCATCAGTGACAAAAGTTGATGTCCGATTTTTTTAACAAAAATCATGTTCCATTGTATTTTCAGGTGAACAATTGACTTGCCTTTGCATGTGCGTGTGACGAGTGCCACTGGAGGAGCAGGATACGCTCACATTTTCGCGAACTCATCGCTATTTGATAGTGATTCGCAAACACGTGCTCATGATACAATCGGAGTCGTGAAATCGAGAAATTTGTAATGACTATGAAAGGGTGGTTACAATCCGGGTACGGAGCAGTAGTCAGGGCCCACTTGCACAAAGCGATCTTAGCGCTAAGATGATCTTAACTCCAATACTTTAACATAGGCTTACGGTAGTCTTAGCGCTAAGATCGCTTTGTGCAAGTGGGCCCAGGTCACTGCGAGCGATTATATTTAGCAGTGTGTGTATCTCGAGCTACTACAAACAAACACACAAGATCATCACATTTGGCTGTATTGGATTACAATTTGTGAAATGCCAGCTATAGATAAAGCACCTATACTTGCTACACCTTACCTACCTGTCGTCGGAGTGATGTGTTCAAACCCGTGAAGATCCGGATTAGAATTGAACTTCAGCCTTAAGAGGCGACTAACGGGATCAGGTGGCCAGGCGCGGTGACTCTGTTGATGCATGTCTTCGTATCCCAATTGCGTAGATCGATACTCGTAATGTCCATCACTGAATTGTCTGATCCAGACTCGATTATTTACAGACCGTCGTTCTTTTTGCTGAGTGCGGCGTTAAACAAGAAATGAAGAAACTTCCTATTTAGTCTTTACCTTATTTCGTTCCATCCATAAAATTTGTTACCTGTAATATCAGGCGCCGCCTGAGACATAGACTACAAACATACAAACATAATTATAAGGTGATCATGTTGTACGATGTTGCTGTGTAAAGTATATATTGACACAACTTGTACTCACAGTTAATGCAGAACATACATGTATTATAGTAATGTACGACCGCCTCCGGGGTCTAGCGGTAGAGCGTCCGCCCGGAGAGCGGAAGGTCCGGGGTTTGATCCCCGGCCGATTCATACGAAAAGACGTTAAAAGATGGTACTTGTTGTTACCCTGTCGGGTGTCGGCATTAAGTGGCTCAAAACAAGGACTGGTCGGCTCGGAGTCAGTATACTGCGTCTGAGTGGGGTATTCATGTTAAACTGCGGCATGGTATCTCAGTGAGCTAGCACTATAAATCGGCATCAGTCCGGACTAGTACAAGCAGCCACTGCCTACTCATTTATTGCAATTGTTGTTTCTGTTAATCCTCTACTGTTATTCCTCCACCAACTATATATATTCTGTACAATGTTCTATACATTCAGTCTTGCTTGACAACGGTATAAGGATACACCGGATGCATCAGTCCGAACTAGTACAAGCAGCCACACACACACGTGCATGCACGTTGCTCTATAAGTGCAATAATCTTGGACGCGATGTTAAACCCAATTTCACCTCACCTCACTATAATTATGTATATGGGGACACGAGAGAGACGATGCAATTGTGTCGTGTATAATTCAGGAAGATGATTTCTTATTTCTGAAGGACATGACACTTTTCTACGTTTTGCTGTTTGGCATAAGAATATAAGTTAAAATGATGGATGTCATACCAATATCAGATTTTTAGACCACCGTCGATCCTGTTACACAATCCACGAAGAAGTGAAAAGGTTACAGGTCACTTTGATACACGTGGGCGGAAGCTTGACCAGGAAGCGGATGTCCATCTGTATATATATGCACGGCGATGACCACCACTGACCAGTACCTGGCGCATCTCGCTCATTCCACTCAGAATTCATTTGGAAGGTAAGTGACAATATCTGATAGTGTTTTATCAGCTGCTTTATAATATTAGATGCTTATTTTACTGATGCGTTTCCTAGTTTTGACATTAACATGGTAGCAAGTCAAAATATGAATAAGGACCGCCTCCGTGGTCTAGTGGTAGAGCCTCCGCCCGGAGAGCGGAAGGTCCGGGGTTCAATCCCCGACCGCGCTAAAAGACGTTAAAAGATGGTACTTGTTGTTACCCTGTCTGGCGCTCGGCATAAAGAGGCTAAAACAAGGACTGGTCGCCTCGGAGTCAGTATACTGATATTCATGTTAAACTGCAACATGGTGTCTCAGTGAGCTAGCACTATAAAACACACACACACACGTGCATGCACGTCGCTATAAGTGCAAAAATCTTGGACGCGACGTTAACCCCAATTTCACATCAGCTCACCAAAATATGAATAATAATATTTGGCATATATCGAACTATTAATGATACATTCGAGAGCCCACAACAATAACCATTAACACGATCTTCTGGAATGTCCACGTAAAAGATGGAGACTTGTAACGGTCGACTAACGGGATCGGGTGGTCAGGCTTATGATCACTGGATTGTCTGGTCCAGACTCGATTATTTACAGACCGTCGTCATATAGCTGGAGTGTGGCGTTAAACAAGAAATAAAAAACGTCCTATTTCGTCTTTACCTTATTTCGTTCCATCAATATAATTTTTTACATGTAATATCAGGCTCCGCGCTGAAATAAGACATAGACTATAATTCCGAACCGCAATAGTGACACGATGTAAAGGAAATATAAACAGGCCTATTTGAAAATTAGAATCCTGTCCTCAGAGACTTAACTCAATAATCAATAGGGACATGTGCATATGTGCACTACCCCCGCAAGGTTGATATGGATTTCAACGCTTGAGGTGTTAGTCAACAGTGTTCAATCAATATTTTCTGTAGCGGGGGCGCTAGCCTACTTTACACAGTTATGCAAACCCCTGAACCAAGGCTTACCCCCCACTCATCGATATCGAATCGTCCAACATTAGCACGTGCTTACACAACTATAATAGGAAAATGAGTGAAAAGATAAATGAAGCCGCAAAGGTGAGGTGAGGTGATGTGAGGTGAAATTGTGTGTAACGTCGCGTCCAAGATTATTACACTGATATAGCAACGTGCATGCACGTGTGTGTGTTTGTGTGTGTGTTTGTGTGTGTGTGTGTGTGTGTGTGTGTGTGTGTGTGTGTGTGTGTGTGTGTGTGTGTGTGTGTGTGTGTGTGTGTGTGTGTGTGTGAATACCCCACTCAGACACAGTATACTGACTCCGAGCCGAACAGTCCTTGTTTAAGTCCCTCAATGCCCAGCGCCAGACAGGATCACAAAAAGTACCATCTTTTAACGTCTTTTGGCTCTCCGGACGGACGCTCTTCCACTAGACCACGGAGACGGTCAGCAGCAAAAAGCAATGACTGTAAGAGATTATGGGATTTACCTAAACGTGCCCTGCAGAACAAAACTCAAGTAATACGGTAACATCTGATGTTTGGGCAGCCTACTTTAAAATCTTATTAAACCCTGCCATTGCAGAAGGTTTTTCAGAAGCTGATCATTCGGTTTCCCATTTCTTGATAACCAGTCTTGTGAAAATTGTAGTATGTGTTTTATTCATGATTTATCAGACGAAATCACTTCAAGCGAGGAGAAGCCATTTCCATCCTGGAGAGGACAGATTAACCCCAGCGTTTTTCAGTGTGCGCATCCTTTCCGCATTTCGTTTTTACAAATTACTATGTATAACAAAGTATTAGTTACAGGTATTTGCCATATTCATGAAAATTAGGTGTAATCTCCCCCTTATACAAATCTGGAAAAAGGGACCCAAATAATTACAGAGGTATTTCCCTTTTAAATGTTACTGGCAAGTCATTTACTTGTGTGTGAGAAAAAAAGGTTGAGACCATGGATGGAAATTAATGATTTTATAAGGGAATCGCAAGTTGGTTTTCGCTGTAATTATTCTACCATTTTAAAAAAATAAATTTTTATTTAATAATTTTTATTGTTCCTGGTAAAAGTACATCATGTTTTGGTAGAACTCATTATACATGACCAGGGTTTTTTAAGCAAGTACATGTCATTCACACACATCCATAGACACATTCACACTCACTAGAAGCTTAAAGTATTTATGAAGACAGAATGCAGGATATTCTAGTAAAATTTTGGAATAGCAAATATATATATTTTCAAAAGGTTTTCATAAGAAGCCGATTTCATATAGAATTCAGTCTGTTTGGCTTTATTTAAGTGTATATATTTTTCTATTTGATAATAATATTTAACCTCATTTTGGAAATGTGTAATGGTTGGTTGGTTATTTTTCATTTTGCATCTGTAAATGTGAAATTTGGACAGTATAAGAGTATCAGATCAAAAATGTTATCGGTGTGGAAATTTTTTGAAAAGCCAAAAAGGATAAGTCTGAAGTAAGATTTATCTTGCCGGTATGTGGACACTTGGATTCAATCCATTGTGAAAATCTTTTCCAGAAGTTTTTGCTTACCCTACAGTCCCAAAACAGATGTTGGATAGATTCTGGCTCGGCATTACAGAAAGTACATATTAGACAGTTGTCAACAATATGCATCTTGAGTAAATAAGTATCAACAGGTAGAATTCTGTGGAGCAATCTAAGCTGAAACCATCTAAGTTTAGGGTCTGGAGTAGTTTTGTGTGCTATTATTCTACCATTGATAACATGTACATTTTAAGTCATTGTGCTCGAAACATATATTACGCAAATGGAAGGGCTGTGTTTGCTGTACTTTCGTTGATTTCAAGAAAGCCTTCGATTTAGTGCATATGCAATAGTTATTGCATATACATGTACTTGTAATCAAGGGTTGTCATGCGAAAATGTTTCATGTTCTGCAAAATGTGTATTCATCTGCATAAAGATTGACACGACAAGAACAAACTGTGTTTAGCAAGAGGTCTAAGACAGGGGTGTATTTTGAGTCCCGTTTTGTTTAGTTTCTTCACCGATGAGCTTGTTATTGAAATCTATAACCAATGTAATTATGGTATATTTGTTGATAAATATATTGTTGATAATATGATGCTAATGTTTTTATTTGCAGTAAGTGGTTTACAAAATCAATTAAATGTATTTCAATAATTGTTTTGAAATGGGCATAATCCGCATTGGATGTAAATTTATATAAAACAAACATAATTGTGTTTAGAAATGGTGGTATAGTTGCCAAAAGTGAAAGACGAACTTATTGAAATGCTACGGTAAAGGTTGTAACTTGCTATAAATATTTGGGTATTACGTTTTCTTCTAAATTATTGTAAATGTCCTGCTATTCAACCTTCACAAGCATGTATGTCTGTGAACAAATCGCTCAAACAAAATAAGTATGTATCATTTTCAACAACTTGTAACATTTTTTAGAGTAAAATGGCACCAATATTACTCAATGGTTCGGACATATGGGGAACAAAATATGCTGCCATAGAAAAAGAACATTCCACATATTTCCATCGTTTTCTGGGTAATGGCAAATGTGCCTCCAAAAAAGGAATTCTTGGTGAAACTAGATTCTGAAATATGTTTGTAAATAGCCAAGTTACTACGAATGGAAGAATGCAGATACCCTCTGCAATGTTATCCATTGTTAAAGTGTTGGATGAAAATGGTGAACATAATTGGGTTTCTGAAGTAAGGAATCTATTGTTTAGATGTGGTTCTTCTTATGTGTGGATTGCACAGGATAATGGTAACATTCAAGCGTTTAAGGGACTATATCAGCAGTGAGTGAACGATATATTTGCAGAAAACTGGTATGAAACTGTTTCATCGCAACATTATCTTGGCAATTATAGGAAAGTAAAGTCTTCAACATAAAAATTTACGAGACAAATCATTAATCTTTCATAAATTTCGAATTTCATTACAGAAATTCAATGTATGTATGTGTACTAAATCTAAAGATATTGATGTTGTTAATTGTGGATATCAGTTGTAAAAGAGGTGAAATTGATGAATTCGACGTCTTTTTTCAATCCAAGTATTCCAATTTTAGATCTACCTATATATCTTTCTTTCTTTCGTTAATAATGACTACAAATCTATAATGTTAGCGATAAATGTTTTCAACTCACAAATTAAAACAAGCATGTTATCCTTTCTGTGGCTACTTATATAAAACATGTTTTTAACATCAGATTCAATAAGATGTAATTTCCGTATATTCACGTGACAATGTATTATGATTTAGTATCATTTGTACGTTAGGCCATGTGGCCATACCAAGAATAAAACTGTCTGCCGAAACTAAGGAACGCAGTACACCCTCTCGGGCATGTGTGACGGGAATGTGGGTCTGTGTTATGGCCAGAATATTTTAATGTCGCTTCTACTAGTATCAGTTGTCGCTTTGGGATTTAATGCAAATATTCACACTTATTTTTAGTAGACTATCGTTTGTCACTAGAAAGCAGCCCCACAATACAATGTAATACAATATAAAGATATCCTAATAATATCAATAATCGATTCATTCCTAACCTAATCCTTTGTCGGTATACATGTATATCCAATCTACACAATAATCATATCCCTTTATGTAACACATATGTGTGTCTTCCATTTCACTGGTGACGCTAATGATAAATAATCAGTCTTCGAAATACCTGCCTGCCCGACCGTCCGAGACGGGTTGATTTCAACTCGGGCTGCCAGATTTTCAAATCCCCCTGCCCGACGGTCAGGTTATATTTCATATGTGAAAATATTCTAAATATTTCCCAATGATAAGCATTAATTCACATGTAAAGATGAATGATAAAATGTAACCAAAAAGAAATCCCGCTAGCTTATCCTGAGAAACATATGATTATAGTGGGCAGGCAGGTTTTGGTCAGGGCTGGCAAGTATTTCAGCTAGCCAGTCCTGTGGTCTGGCTGAAATTTTGGGGAGTTTCATACCCTGTTTTAAATAAAGTGCAGAAGTGCGTTCCTAGTTATGCCAGGATCCGCTTATCGTGGTTTCGAACCCGCCATTAATCAAATCATCTTTGACCAATTAGATTCAAGCAACTCACACTTACCTTTTTATGCAAATTGTTTGGGTGTTACGGGTGTTGCGGGTAGGGCAGGACATTAGGGCATACCCTTTTCTCGAACACCTGTGACCATCAATGATTTTCAGTGATCCATTCATATAATTTTCACGCTTATTTTGTCTTTACGGCTAATGGAATCTGATTCGATAGATCATGGAGATTCTCTGGCGTTGGAGGCTTATACTGAAGTGATGACGCCAACAGTCTGGTAGATGAGGATGCCCCCGATGATGCTGACACGCCTTTATAAAACTGAAATACTGTTCATAGCGGCGTTACACTAACCCACTTTGTAGCTACGCGACCCTTGAAGATCCGGGTTAGAATAGGTCTTCAGCAACCCATGCGTACCCTACAAGGCGACTATGCTTGTCGTAAGAGGCGACTAACGGAGTCGGGTGGTGTGGCTTGCTGACTTGGTTGATGCATGTCATCATATCCCAATTGCGTGGATCGATGCTCATGATGTCAATCCCTGGACTGTGTGGTCCAGACTCGATTATTTACAGACCGCCGTCATATAGCTGTAATATTGTTAAGTGCGGCGTTAAACAATCAAACAAACGTTTGTTACGTCATTCAACCAGCATCCTCGTTGTCACATACCTCGGTTTCAGATTCAGGTAAATCAACATGATGAAGATGCTCCTCGTCGTCGTTGGCTGCATCGTCTCTGCCGCCGCAACACCTACATACGGGCACTACGGCATGTACGGACTTGGGGGAATGGGTTATGGAATGGGGGGATTTGGATACCCAGGATATGGCTTCGGTGGTCAAATTGGCATGGGCATTGGTTACGGAGGACTTGGAGGACTTGGTTACGGAGGACTTGGAGGACTTGGTTACGGAGGCATGGGAGGACTTGGTTACGGAGGCATGGGAGGACTTGGTTACGGAGGCATGGGAGGACTTGGTTACGGAGGCATGGGAGGACTTGGTTACGGAGGCATGGGAGGACTTGGTTTCGGAGGCATGGGAGGACTTGGTTTCGGAGGCATGGGAGGACTTGGTTTCGGAGCAATGGGAGGACTTGGTATGTATGGCGGATACGGCGGAGGGGTCGGTGGATTTGGTAAGGAATTATATATGAAAATGTATTGAATAGTTTTTCAAACTTTGTGGACGCGCTTCTCCTGCATACTTATCTTTCTGCTTGAGTGTATACACGAGTTATTCTGACAAATCCATAAAAAACAACAACATGTAACTTCTAACATGTCTACATTCTATCCAGTGTGATGACAGTACGTATTGGAAGCGATGTGGATTAGGAATTGGGCATCTATGAAAACACTTAATATTTGATTATAAGTACTTCTTTATAAAACCAACAACCGAGGCGACTAACGGGATCTGTAGATCAGGCTCGTTGACGTGGTTGAAGCATGTCATCGTATCCCAATTGCGTAGATCGATGCTCATGATGTCAATCACTGTTTTTCTGGTCCAGACTCGATTATTTTTAGACCGCATCATATAACTGGAATATTGCTGAGTGCGGCGTTAAACAAAAAAACACACAAAACACCCAACGCATAAAAATCCCTTTCCGGGGCGTTTGGGTACTTGGCGGTCAAAGCGTATATATTTCCCTCTTTCTACAACCCTCTTACACGTGTGATCAATAATTGATACATTTCAACCAAGTCATATTGATGGCAATCATAAATAAGCTTAATTAACATTGGTCTAATACACATTAATGTTGTCATCGATTCATGGGTAGAAATGGCATAAGGACACAACATGTATAATTGTTATACAGTAAACTACGGTTATAACGAACACGCTTATAACGAAGTTACCGATATTACGAACTTATTTTCAGTCCGGGCCATTTGTTGTATATATGCTGTATATATGCTTATAACGAACTACGGTTATAACGAACTAAAATTAATGGTCCCTTTGAGTTCGTTATAACCGTAGTTTACTGTATCTCTATAAAGAATCTTGCAATTCCATCAGTGATTCCGAACTACGCGACGAAACAATACATTTCAATGTAGACCCCGAAATCATGTGACTAAAACTGACTTATAATAATATTTTTGCTGTACCCGTCCTTTCATATTCTTTTGGTGTTGTTGATTGGACGAAACAAGAAATTCAGGGTATTGACACCCTCACACGAAGAATCATGTCAGACAATAGATCCCACCACCCTCGCTCTTCCCTCAGTCGGGTAGCCTAGTGGTAAAAGCGTTCTCTCGTCACGCCGAAGACCCGGGTTCGATTCCCGACATGGGTACAATGTGTGAAGCCCATTTCTGGTGTCCCCCGCCGTGATATTGCTGGAATATTGCTAAAAGCGGCGTAAAACCATGCTCACTCACTTCCCTCAGTCGCTTATATCTACCAATCATTATGGGAGAACGTGGTTTGATTAACGTAAAAGGTTTGGGGCTCTTAAAAAAAGGGTCCTGATAGAATTGTTTTGTGCACTTTTGCACACATTTATTTGTCTGATGATCCCCTTGTGAAGCATGTCAAGGCTTTCTGTTTGCTGCTCAGGACCAGTCACTTCCCACTCGAAACCGTCAATGTCTAATTTTGCATCAAAATGTAAATATGAAATGTAGATTATGTAATGAATTGAATGAGACTGTCCAACACAATATCAGTTGATGCCCAGCTTTGGCACAAACACAGTATCTTAAGCGACATGATGGACTGGCTCGATCATTTTATTACCGTCTTCACCATACTTGTGGTTTTGATACAGAGTTCCATCCATGGTACGACCAAGAATATGTAGAGGGCGTCATTTGAAAATTATAAATACAAAATTCTTTGGAATAGACCCGTATACAGCCTCAGACGTATCCAGGCCAACAGACATGATCGTGTCCTTTTTGATAAATCCAACGAAATCATTTATGTCATTGAATCTTCTGTCCCTTTTGACACTAAACATGACAAGATTCAGGATAAACATGGCAAATATGCGGACATCGCTTTCGAAACGTCACGCTTGCATCCAAGTTCCAAGTTGTACGACTCCCCATTGTTCTCGGTGCTTTAGGTTTGGTACATCCCAATCTGTTGACTGACATTGGGAGAGTACCCGGGTTTGCTGCCAGGAATACAGCCCTTCTGACAATCTGAGTAATGCAGAAGGCTGCAGTGTTGGGGAGTTCTCATTCTCCGAAAAGTTCTGAGTTGGTTCGACTAGGCAGCGCTTCCTGGGAGAAGTCCCATTCACTGTCTGAGCTGCGTGTAGAGGGGGGCAAGGGCCCTGAGCTGATGATAAGCCTCACCAGCTTGACTGTGTTCACCAAAGTCTTCGGGTTTTCCTACCACATCAAGCTGACATCCCGTGATATAACTCAAAGCGGCGTTAAACCCTACTCACTCATTCACTCAGTCATTACTGTAAAAAGCGGCGTTAAACCCAACTCCCTCATTCACTCAGTCATTACTGTAAAAAGCGGCGTTAAACCCTACTCACTCATTCACTCAGTCATTACTGTAAAAAGAGGCGTCAAACCCAACTCACTCATTCACTCAGTCATTACTGTAAAAAGAGGCGTCAAACCCAACTCACTCATTCACTCAGTCATTACTGTAAAAAGCGGCGTTAAACCCAACTCCCTCATTCACTCAGTCATTACTGTAAAAAGCGGCGTTAAACCCAACTCCCTCATTCACTCAGTCATTACTGTAAAAAGCGGCGTTAAACCCAACTCATTCATTCACTAAGGCATTACTGTAAAAAGCGGCGTTGAACCCAACTGACTCTCAACTTGTGGTCCATGTTAAGTTTGGGAATCATCTCAATACCATTTGAATGTGATCAAAGTCGAGTTAGCTGTAACACTGACACTAAGTGTTTTGAACGGGTCTGATCTTCTGATGTCTTATGCATAATGTAAATCCTGTATCTCTTCACAGGATACTGATGATCGTGGCTTATACTACAATGACGGATTCACAACCAGTGGAAGTAGATATCAACAAAGAAGAACGTTTATTAGACATTATGAGTATGATAAAAATAAACCTTCAAATTTCCAATTCGATGTTGTTTTTCATTCTTAAGAATACTTTAAAGTTTACATTTACTCGTTAATGTAGGTTACCACTTGTAAGAAAAGGTACCCCCAGAGAATTGTGTATTATGTAATTACAATATAAGCTAAAATCCCTTTCCATATGGATGAGAAATCTCAACTTAGAGTCAGTTGTACGATGGCGACTACATCATGAGCACTATCCAATAGTGTGGATACAAGGTGTTAGCAGGAAGGTGAGTGTTTCCTGACCCACCAGTGGCATCCGACACAAACACATGCAAAGGCAAATCAATTATTCACCGGAACATATAAACATATGATACAAGTCTAAATAGGGAACTGCACATCTGACACAAATTTTGTCACCGATGCATCAAATGTCTTCCACATGTCTATCGTAAAACTTTTGTAAGCTTTACTGAATAATATGTAGTAACTCAAAGAGGCGTCAAACCCAACTCACTCATTCACTCAGTCATTACTGTAAAAAGAGGCGTCAAACCCAACTCACTCATTCACTCATTCATTACTGTACGAAGAGGCGTCAAACCAAACTCACTCATTCACCCAGTCATTACTGTAAAAAGCGGCGTTAAACCAAACTCACTCATTCACTCAGTCATTACTGTAAAAAGAGGCGTCAAACCAAACTCACTCATTCACTCAGTCATTACTGTAAAAAGAGGCGTCAAACCCTACTCACTCATTCACTCATTTATTACGTACTGTATAAAGGAGCCGTCAAACCCAACTCACTCATTCACTCAGTCATTACTGTAAAAAGCGGCATTAAACCCAACTCACTTATTCACTCAGTCATTACTGTAAAAAGCGGGTTAAACCAAACTCACTCATTCACTCATTTATTACGTACTGTATAAAGGAGCCGTCAAACCCAACTCACTCATTCACTCATTTATTACGTACTGTATAAAGGAGCCGTCAAACCCAACTCACTCATTCACTCAGTCATTACTGTTAAAAGCGACGTTAAACCCAACTCACTCATTCACTCAGTCATTACTGTAAAAAGAGGGGTCAACCCCAACTCACTCATTCACTCATTCATTACTGTATAAAGGAGCCGTCAAACCCAACTCACTCATTCACTCAGTCATTACTGTAAAAAGTGGCGTTAAACCCTACTCACTCTCAACCTGTCGTCCATGTTAAGTTTGGTGACTAACGGGATCGGGTGATCAGGCTCTCTGACTTGATTGATACGTGCCATCGTATCACAATCGCGTAGATGAATGCTCATGGTGTCAATCACTGGATTGTGTGGTCCAGACTCGATTATTTAATGACCGTCGTCATATAGCTGGAATATTGCGGCGTTAAACAACAAACAAACATACCAACAAGCAAACATTGATCAGACATCTGTTTTAGCAAGAGTCGTATGAAACTCTTTAAAATCTACGTAGAAAGGGCATGCTTAATTGTTGCTCATAAGATGTGAAATAAAGACACTAAAGAATGCAGCTGCTGGAATATTGCTGAACATAAAGGGAAATCTGAATTTTGTAAAATTCGAAGCCTACAGTAGAAAGTCATGTACTCGCAGATAATTGAATATAATATAATCATCAACACTATTAAACGTCAAGGCCTGAGAATAACCAGTCTCGATTATCCGTCGAAACCGATTCCATTAGGCGTAAAGAGCAAAATAGCTGTGATCATATGAATGGATCACTGAAAATCAGTGATGACTCCAGGTGTTCACCCAACGGGTAAGCATGTCACACAATTGTATCAATAAGTATGAGTTTGTTGCCTTACAAGTTATTACAGTTTGTTACAAACCTTTAACATAATTTCAGAAACATTCCGCAATTGTCCCGGAAAAGAAATTATATATAAAAAGGGCTCAGTTAACGCATTCACTTCATCTATTTCGGGGATCTAAAAAATATGAAAAACAGAACAATGATCCTGCTTATCCTCGTATATTACGAACGTGTATATTATTCCATTACCGCGTGCACAGGCCTAGCTGTCAGATCGTTTGGAGACAGATGGACTGGAAGACTCTATTTACACTGAGGCGGGTGTTTTCTGTTAGGTTGAGGCTGAAGTCACGATGCGTTCTGATTTGCACGTACAATATAAAAAAGTTTAAATCTAATTGAATCTTGGGCTTACAATGGTTGCATGCACTGGACTTAGCAGCCCAAGCTGGCAAACATGCAACAACCTTGACATGATGTTGCTGTGCAATTTCTATTGCGTCGTGTCTTTCCCCTGATGTGATGCTACTAACAACACGTTTCTTGGCAAGGGTTTCGCACCAGCGTTGCATATTCCCTGAGGCGTGCCAGAAATGTATGATCACAGGTTCGAATGACCCTGAGAATGTCTATAGGTTCGCTTGCATCATCCCCGTGCTCGTGGGTTTCACCAAAGTTGTAAACGTCTGAGACCTGCATCACTTCGGACATTCCTCCCACACCAAGTTGACGAGCCGCGATATGCTGTTGAAATCGGTGTTAAACCCAACTCACCCACTCACTAATTGACGTACACGCAAACATCGTGGAAGGATCTCAATAACAAAATGCGTTTAAAACGTTAACAGCAGAAGATTAGATTAATAATAATATATATTAATAATAAAGCAGGAAAAATCTTTCCATATCCAATAGAAATCTCTGCGCAAAGCAGAGTCGATTGTACGATTCCGACTGTATCCCGAGCATGTGTTTATGAATCACTATCAAATAGTGATGGACTTATTATTTTATTCTAGATAAAATCGTTGATCACGATTGTCATTATGAAGTGTCCATGAGGGAGTGTGGTTCAACGCCATGATATGACGAGTGACTATAACAATGGCATTCCCTTATTAGCATGTGGAGCTGTTTACACCACTACCTAACTATCCAACAGTTAAACATGCAATAAGGAAGTTTTGACCCTCGTTAGTCCGAAACCCGAAGTCCGAAGATCGTTGATTCGACCCTAGGCGCGTTCTACTATAAGACGTTAAAGAATGGCACTTGTTGTTTACCTGCCTGGCGCTCGGCATTAAGGGGACAGTCGTCTCGGAATCAGTAATCTATTTAAGTGTGATATCCGTGTTAAACTGCGGCATGGTATCTCAGTGGGCCAGCACAATAAAACCGACATTCCGGACTGGTACCACCAGCTACATACACAGTGAGTGAGTAAGTTTGGTTTTACGCCGCTTTTAGCAATATTCCAGCAATATCACGGCGGGGGACACCAGAAATGGGCTTCTGACATTGTACCCATGTTGGGAATCGAACCCGGGTCTTCGGCGTGACGAGCGAACGCTTTAACCACTAGCCTAGCCGAGTTACATACACATGTGCATGCTCGTCGCTTTTATGCGTACACTAATCTTGATAACGTTAAGAACATTTCACCTCACCCCTATCACCCGGTGGTTAGTGAAATTGGAATAAGAAAGCTGACACAATGAATATCACATATTTTATTAGTCGGACACTCGCAATAACCTTTTTAAGCTGAAAAAAAGGAATACACCTATAGTCCTGAAGTCCCTGCTGTGTCGTATCATGCCATGACATGACATGACATGCTGTCGTTTCCTCCTGTCAAGGTATCTATTATGCAAAGTTGGCGAAGGAAACCTCCTTGGGCGCTGCGTGTACAGTTTCACATAAACGATCCGCAATACTTCTTGATGAACATCTGAAAGAAATATTTATAAAATTATTTAACACTTTAACATAATGTTATCTGAAAGCATATGAAACATAAATAAAATGTTAACTTCATGGATTATCTAAGTACATATTACAAAATAGTCAGTGTCCTGTATGACTGGTCTTCAGCCACCCATAAGAGGCGACTAACAGGATCGGGATCAGGCTCGCTGACTTGGTTGTCATGTCGTCGGAATCCAATTGCGTGGATCGATGCTCATGATGTCAATCACTGGATTGTCTGGTCTAGACTCGATTATTTACAGGCCGCCGTCATATAGCTGGAATATTGCTGAGTGCGGTGTTAAACAACAAACAAACAACAAAATTATAGCCATTACTATTACCTGTTATTAAATCACAATATCGATTGTCTTTACTTCATGTCGTATTTAACTATGGTTATGGTAATACTATCCTCCAGTGCTTACATCGTCAGACCCGTGGGGATTCGGAGGAAGAATACACGCCCCAGCAAACTATTCAACTAAAGTGATCGGGTGGTCAGGCTCGGTGACTTAGTTGATGTCGGGTCAGCGTATCCCAATTTGATCGATGCTCATGATGTGACTGGATCGTCTAGTCCAGATTCGATTATTTACAGACAGCCGGCGTCATATAATATTCCAAAATGCGGCGTTAAACAAAGAAGAAAATTCACAAAAAACAAAGGCTTACGTCGTCCATGTAGCCAGTGAAATCGCTCTTGCCTGTTCCCGAAGCTATGGCCAAAGGAGAGGAGTTCCCAACTGCCCGGATTCCTGTTGCACAATGAAGTCACTCATCACCAAACAAAACAACACCTTATATACCTTACTGTATAAAACATTAACGGTTCGGCCAACAAAGTTTATGGTTTGTTGTTTAACGCCGCACTCAGCAATATTCAAGCTATGTGACGGCGGTCTGTAAATAATCGAGTCTGGACCAGACAATTAGGATCGATGACATGCATCAACCAAGTCAGCGAGCCTGATCACCCGATCCCATTAGCCGCCTCTTACGACAAGCACAGTCGCCTTTTACAGCAAGTATGGGTTGCTGAAGACCTGTTCTACCCCGGATCTTCACGGGTTGGCCAACAAAGTGATTTTTTTGTGTCATATTGATAAAAGCACACTGAACGACTTTAGAATAATGCGTTTTCAACCTTTTCGAGGGACGTGTTTTTCATCGAAGACTATGACAATTCAGGATCACTTAAGACACAGTATGTTGACTTATAATATTGATTGAACCGGACATATGTGACGCCAGAGGCGCATCTAAAATGACTATTATATGTTTAATGCAATATCCTAAAAGTACGTTATACCTTTCTCGAATAGAAACTCCGTTGTCTGTTCTGTGGAACCTTCAGCTGTCACGCTCAACTTGCCCTTGGTGTTATCCTTCGCGAACACAACGGACACTCTTCTTCTAAGATCCTGAAATGAGTAAGAACTGGTCACAGCGCACGTGTGTCATAATAACGATTTGTTTGTTGTTTAACGCCGCCACGCGATTGGGATCGATGACATGCATCAACCAAGTCAGCGAGTCTGACCACCCGATCCCGTTAGTCGCCTCTTACGACAAGCATATTCGCCTCTTACGGCATGCATGGGTTGCTATTCTACCCAGGATCGTCATGGCCGTGGGTCTCATAATAACGGGGGGTCTATCAAAAGACTGCAGACATTGGAAGTGATAGACAGAATTTTAGTAAAATGTTTAATGAAAATTCACGGGACCCCACGGATGAGGATGTAAAAAGGTATTAGGCACGAAACCAATAAAGAACAATATGGATATGGCTATGTGATATATTCCAGATATGGTGAAGATATACCGATACAGAAAACACCCGTCTAAACCTAGCAACTCGTAAAGGGCGACAGTATTCACCAAACCATGCTTGTCGTAAGAGGCGACAAAGGGGATCGGGTGGTCAAACCCGCGGACTTGGTTGTAATGTCATCGTATCCCAAATGCGTAGATTGATGCTCATGACATGTCGGTCCAATCTATTCACAAACCGCTGTCATATAACTGGACTATTGCCAAGTGCGGCGTTGAACAAGCAGACAGAAATCTTTCCTTAAAAACTCTTTAAATCAATTATTCATTGCAGGACGCCTAGTTGACGTCAAGTTTTCAATATATTTGAATTCTTGAGAAACAATTTAAAAATATTTTAAATCCAAACCATATCAAGATGAAACGGATTACCTACCAGAGGCTAATACCAAGCAAAACGAGAAACCCGCGGATGAAGGATCAACACTCACCACTTCTGGACTTGTAGCATTGGCATCGTATCTCTCGTTCGAATCGGAAGCTTTACTCGGTCTAACATAGCATTGTACTTGGCCGTAGTTTGTTCGTACAACCAGAAGTCTACAGCCATACGTGGCCTCCTGGTTCTTGGCGCTGTTATCAACAAGGGCAATAATCAATGGTCCATTGGTTCCACTGGGGACAAGGACACCGCGTGTGGTGTTGTCTGATTGGACAGCTTGGAAGGTGAAGGCCAGGTCAAAATAGAGACCAAGGTCATTTCCGTCTAAACGCGGGGCGACGAAACTCTGGCCTCCAGAGAAGAAAGCAGATCGTGGGTTGTCATTGCTTGTAGATTTGACGATGTCAGCGTTGCCATCGATGGAGCTACTGTCCATCATCGGGGTATTGTTCTTGGCAAGTTCCCAGGAATTGTCAGATGATGACAGATGAATAGCACTTGTCGTCTCACAGCCTGTAAAAGCAAAGCGTATTGTTTTTTCTTTTTAAAGAACAAAAGAATTACAACAGATACCGGGGTCCGTGAAGATCTCGGTTGGAATAGGTCTGCAGCAACACATGCTTGCCTTAAAAGGCGATTATGCTTGTCGCAAGAAGCGACTTACAGGATCGGGTGGTCAGGTTCGCTGACTTGGTCGATGCATGTCATCGTATCTTAATTGTGTGGATCGATGCTTATGATGTCAATCACTGGAATGCCTGGTTCAGACTCTCGATTATTTACAGACCGCCGTCATATACCTGGAATATTGCTGAGTGCTGCTTTAAAAAACAAAACAAAAAACAAACAAACAACAGATACAGGTATAAATAGAGCATCATCTTTGTGAGCTTATCAAACTGAGGATGACATTGGTTTTTTTCTTGAATGTGTGGCTCCCATTTTGGTTGTGCACCTTTTACGCGAAGTCTGATTATCTCTACAGCACTCCCCTTAAAGGGGAACTGTCTCCGTTCTAATTGGTAGTCCTAGCTACGTTGACTCGTGCCGTTAAAAACCTATACTGTCCTCCACTTGTATAGTATGTATGAAGTGAAGACATCGTGATTACCTTATGACAGAGACTGAGTTTCAGTTTCACACGCCAAAACCCACCAGACCTTGGAGCATTGTCTAGTCAAGGGTGAATATCGACAAAAAGTAGCTTATACACACAGACCATATCATGTGTGTTTGTAACATAAGAAACAAATATAAAATATGAAAAAAATGTAAAAAGTATGAAGTGTCTCGTAGAATTAGTCACATAGTAATATAGCCATGTTTTTATAGGCCATAATTACAAGTTTACATGTTGAGGAGAAACGGTGTATTCAAAAGTGAGGTGAGGTGAGGTGAAATGGGATCCGATTTAACTTCGCGTTCAAGATTATGGCACTTATAAAGCGACGTTCATGCACATATGTGTGTGTGTGTGTGTGTGTGTGTGTGTGTGTGTGTGTGTGTGTGTGTGTGTGTGTGTGTGTGTGTGTGTGTGGTATTCGTCCGGACTAATGCCGATTTTATAGTGCTAGCCCACTGAGATACCATGCCACAGTTTAACACGAATGCCCGACTCAGACCCCGAGCCGACCAGTCCTTGTGTTAGCCCCTTAATACTTAACGCCATGCAGGGTAACACCAAGGAACATCTTTGAACGTCTTTGAACCCCGACCTTTCGCTCTCCGGGCAGACGCTCTATCCACTAGACCACGGAGGCAGTCTCAATAGTGAGGACCTCGTCGAGAAGTCACATGACGTGAATGATGACGTGAATTTCATTATTATAGTGACGTTGCTTAAGTTCAACGTCAGTTTTGTGTCTGTATTACGTCCCTCTGGGTTGCGTGGAATTAATTACATTTTTAACTTGGAACAATGTGATATTTAAGTTGTCTCACCTTTCGCAGTCTCGTTGGAGTGGTCACAGCCGCATTTTCCCATGACCTGGTAGGACGTGGATGCTGGACAGGTCGTATCAAGACTCTCCACGGTGGGGAGCCCGTTGCCATAGGTCACCGTCTCGTTGATCTGGAAGAAGGTTTGGCCTCGGAGAGATGGCCCACACAACCGGACCACTAGCAGAGAAATTCAGTCAGACATTACAACCTGAACACTATCTACTGTTCCCTGCATACGCTCAACGTTCTATTCTTAGTGCTTTTAATGCATTATCATTAATGAGTTCAACACCGCTTTTAACAGTATTCCAGTCATATCACAGCGTGTCAGCTTAATGTGGGAGGAAATCCTGAAATGATGCAGGTCTCAGACGTCCACCACTTTGGTGAAACCCACGAGCACGGACTTGATGCTGACAAAACTCGAAATACACTCGGGGCGAATCGGGATTCGAATCTCTTATCAAAGACTTAGGCCAAGGGACGCAACTCTGGGCAGCGAATTGCGGCGCGCAAACGACCGTGCCGCCCGCGCCAAGCACTGTCATGACATGTTACTGAAACTTGTTCAGACTGCCACTGTGGTTTACTTGTTAGAATAGGTCTTCAGCAATCTTTGCTTGTGAAGATGGTCGTCAGTCTTGGTTTCGAAAGTTTTCATATCAATCGAGAAATTGTCTGGCCCATGCTCGATTATGTTTAGGCCCCCGTCATACTGCTGGAATATTGCTGAGTGTGGCGTTAAACATGAATTAGACAAAAAACAACAATATACGAACAACAAATATGGAAAACAAGAAGCAAGACGGGAGTTTTTGAGTGAGGGAGTTGGGTTTAACGCTTAACATTATTCCAGTTATATCACGTCATGTCAGCTTAATGTGGGAGGAAAGCCCGAAGTGATGCAGGTCTCAGACGTTTACCACTTCGGTGAAACACACGAGCACGGGTATGGTGCTGACAAACCTAGAAACATAATCTGGGCGAACCGGGATTCGAACCCACAATCATAGGTTTCTGGCGTGCCCAAGGGACACAACTGTGCACAGCGAATCACGGCGCCTTAGACGACTGGGCCACCCGTGCCCCCCAAGACGGGAGTGATTGAGTCACGGAGTTTATGTTGATAAACACCATAGTCAGCAAGATTCCAGCGTTATGACACCTTCCTGTCATGATTCTTAAGCAAAACGGGAAATGCGTGAAATATTTGGTCGGGAAATAGAAGTTGAATCATAGCTGTGTGTGTCGTATCATTAATTATACATACAATTATATTATCAGTTCATTTGGGAACAGCTCATGATGTGATGTAACTGATTTTATAATGACACACGGCACATATATCTTGGAAATCTAGTCAGTAATCTCACCCATAATCTGGACTCAAAGTAGATGTGAATGAGGAAATATACAGTAACCACACGTCACCGTTAATTGCACTACTTGAAAGCAACACTTGTTGCCAAGAGCGGTGGGGCGGCCTAGTGGTCAAAGCGTTCGCTCGTCACAATCCCATACAAGGGAACAATGCGTGAAGCCCATTTCTGGTGTTCCCCGCCGTAATGTTGCTGGAGTATTTCTAAAACCGGCGTAAAATAATACTCACTCACTCAGTTGATGCACTTAGAAAAACAAAAGCGAAACATTCTCGTGTTATGGGTTATTTTCCCATTTACTCTGTCGTTGACGTTATCATCATTTGAAAAAACTATAAACAAAGACAATTTCACAACCCTTTTTAGTTGGAGCTATTTCGTCGGAGATTTCCCGAGACAAAGGACTATTTTATTATTTTCGTGACAGTAGCGAACACGGGTAGGTGCTGAAAAACCAAGCATAAATCATGGAACATCTTGGCTTAAATCTAACCTCCAGCGTATCCGTAGATCTGAGCACATGCATAGAGTGAGTGAGTGAGTTGGGTTTAACGCCGCTTTTAACAGTATTTCAGTTATATCACGGCGTTTCAGCTGATTGTAGGAGGAAAGCCCGAAGTGATGCAGGTCTTAGACGTTTACCACTTCGGTGAAACCCACGAGCACGGGCACATAGGTTTCTTGCGTGCCCAAGGGACGCAACTCCGCACAGCGAATCGCGGCGCCTTAGACGACTGGGCCACTCCTGCCCCCCACATATGCATAGAGTGTGTTTTTGATATGAGAAGATTCACAGCGTCAACGCCAGAGAATACCCAGTCTCGAATAAACTCCATAGGGCATAAAAAGGTAACATAGTGAACATGATGAACTGCCTAGCAAAAGAAAGTAAACACCCATGTTTGATATTGGCTAAAAATGAAATAAACAAGAATTTGGTAGTCGATGGTGAATGTATTTGATACAGGTATCATAATTGTGCTTTGTACGTTTGTCGACGACCGTTTTCAGCCTAGTAACGTTTTGATAACGTTTCTAATGTTTTGGTGAAATTCAGTTTACAAGTGTATACTTTCTTTTGCCAGGCAGTTGGTGGATGGAGTGAGTGAGTATGGTTTTACGCCGCTTTTAGCAACATTCCAGCAATATCACGGCGGGGGACACCAGAAATGGGCTTCACACATTGTACCCATGTCGAGAATCGAACCCGGGTCTTCGGCGTGACGAGTGAACGCTTTAACCACTAGGCTCCCCCACCGCCCCTGATGGATGGAACACGGAAAGTCAGTGATGACACCAGGTGTTCGCGAAAAAGGGAAAACTCACAAAGCCTCCTTGTAAATTTAAGTAAGTGTCTGCATGTTTGTTGCCGAACGCCACACTTTGCTATACTCATCCCATGTGTCGACAGATGATGATAATTTTTATTTAATCAAACGCAAGCACTCAAATCTTATCATTTGACCCTTTAGTAAAATATTTATGAAATATGCGTTCGTTTTCTTCAACAGGTATAACAATCGGAATGTACGCCGAAAGCATGTTGGGCTCAAAATAGAAAGATGTTTTACTTTCTGATACGGTAAACTACGGTTATAACGAACTCAAAGGGACTACTAATTTTAGTTCGTTATAACCGTAGTTCGTCATAAGTACATATACAGCATGACTACAGCAAGGAGTCGGGACCAAATAGTAAGTTCGTTATGTCCGTCAGTTCGTTATAAGCGTGTTCGTTATAACCGTATACTGTAGTATACTGAACTCAAAATTGTATGTAACGTAGATATATAGACTTACCCAGTCTCCTCTTTGTCTTGTCGCACTCAAGGTCGCACGCCCCGGTCCAGGCACTGAATCCACGTTCTTCGGGACACTTACTGGAGATAATGGTGTTGTTCACACACGTCATGAAGCCCCCACACTGGGAGGCGTCTTCGGGTATAGGACGATTAGATGCACATGGATCTGTGGAGTAAAGAAACAACACTCCACAAGAAATCTCCCAAAGTTGTTACTCCGGATCACAATAGCCCGCATTTTCTTTTTTTTCGGGCGATCATTAGGATAACGTGACATACAATAAAGAGATAGAAGGACATAACTCTAAATATTAATTGTCAACGCTGGAGCACAACCAGCCTTGAATTTCTGCGGAAACAGATTCCATTTTGGGTAAGGGGCAACAGCTGTGGAAATTATTTGAAAGGACCACTGAAAATCATGAATTGTTGATCCTTAACTCTGATTATCCGGACGATTTCATTGGAAATAGCATCGTCTGGATTAACGGGTTTCTCTGAATTGCTCTCTTGAAACGAGGTTCGCGTTTGTAGAGTTGTCAGCTACTTGTAGACAGAACGTGATGGAGGTTCCACATTTTCCATACTAATATAACAAAAATTCATTTTTCGTCTTTTCAGTAAAGCAAGGAACTAGTTGAGGGGCAGTTTGTTTATATAGGGAAACTCTTACTTTGGGTCGCCAAAACAAATGTACCGTTCCTGATAATTTAAGCTGTGGAAACTGATGTGTAGGCAACATTCAATCTGTCACTCACTCATTCAGCCCCATCTTTCTGCTTCACATATACATGAATAGTTACTCTGTATGCTCGTGTTTTTGTTGCTTAGCGCCGCACTCAGCAATATTACAGCTGTATGTAGATGTTCTGCGTTTTACCAAATCTGGATAAGACAAACCACCGACTGTTATTATAATACTGGTATTACATTGACTCATTGGTGTACGAAGTCACCAAGTCTGAGCATCCTGTCTCTTTGGACCAGTACAGATTGCTAGGCTTCTTTTCTATACCGGAATATTCACTGGGTTGTTCACAAGCAGGGGTATATTTTAACTTTTCTTTCAAATTGGAATCTTGTTATTGCGATTCAAATTGACGCGGTGGCGGTTCCAGTGTTACCCCAAATATAACAGTTGTTACTTTCAAATTACCAACTAGACAATTGCTACAACACCTTCAAATTACCAACTAGACAATAGCTATACCTTCCATTTACCAACTAGACAACTGCTACAATATCTTAAATTACCAACTGGACTGTTGCCATACCTTTAAATTACCAACTAGACAATAGCTATACCTTCAAATTACCAACCACACAATTGCTACACTATCTTCAAATTACCAACTAGACAATTGCCATACCTTCAAATTACCAACTAGACATTTGCTTAAACTTCAAATTACCAACTAGACGTTTCCTACAACACCTTCAAATCACCAACTAGACATTTCCTACAACACCTTCAAATTACTAACTAGACTTTTACTACAACACCTTCAAAATACCAACTAGGCATTTCCTACAACACCTTCAAATTACCAACTAAGCATTTCCTACAACACCTTCAAATTACCAACTAGACATTTCCTACAACACCTTCAAATTACCAACTAGACATTTGCTACAACACCTCCAAATTACAATGTAAACAATTCCTACAAATTACCAACTAGACAATAGCTATACCTTCAAATTACCAACTAGACAATTGCTAAAACTTCAAATTACCAACTGGACAATAGCTATGCCTTGAAATTACCACACCTTCAAATTACCAACTAGACATTTCCTACAACGCCTTCAAATTACCAACTAGACAAATTACTACAACACCTTCAAATCACCATCTAGACATTCCCCACAGCACCTTCAAATTACCAACTAGACATATCCTACAACACCTTCAAATTACCAACAAGATATTTCCTACAACACCTTTAAATTACCAACTGGACATTTGCAGCAACACCTTCAAATTACCAACTAGACAAATTGGTACAACACCTTCAAATTACCAACTAGACAATAGCTATACCTTCAAATTACCAACAAGACAATTACCACCTCCTACGAAATATCTTACATCAGTCCATAGTCGATAAACAAAAAACTTGTAGCTAAATAATATATGGTTGAAAATCTCAAAATGTATTTTCCAGATCTGAAGAAACTGAAGTTTGTTCTGAAAAAGTATGTGAATGGTTCACTGGAAGTCAGTAATGACACACGGTGTTCGCGACATTGGTAATGCTGGTAATCCTACCAGCGTAAAATTAACACTTAATATCATAACGTTGGGTAGTAGCAAAATGACATAGTATATCTAGAGCAAGCTCCAAATAATGTTTGATTGTATCACTGAACATAGATGTGAGTGAATGAATGGAATATTCGTTTAAAGGTTTTTCATAAATACGCTGAGGGTAAGCAGTAACATAGTAAGTACATATTTGAATATGTACTATTCAAATTTTGATTTGATTTTAGAAAATCCATACTATCACATCTACATGGTATGAATAATGACAAAAAAGTGGGGTCAATCTAGAAATCAATATTAATAGTCAGTCAAAGGTTGAGAAGTATGTGATATGTTGCAAGACTCACGGCCAACTCGGAGACAAAACGAATTATCTGGTATTCCACTGGGCAGAATTTCCTTGAGACGACCGTCCCTCTCGTCATATACATCCCCAACGGGAGCATGCCGACCATATATGACCCACAGACCTCCGAAACGTAGGCACTCCACGTACAAGTTGCAGGCGTACGGATGGTTGAACGTGCATCGTGCAATGAAGGTTCCCTGTCCTCCTGTGCAGGCGTTTTTACAGCTTCCTGAAATTATAAACAATTATCATTTACCCGATGAAGGAGCAGGAAGTAGCTGAATGATGATTCACCTGATGAATAAGCAAGAAGTAGCCCTCAAACGTCGTGAAATAAATACAAGAAGTTGCTTAGTGTCATGTATTCATGTTCTTCCATCTTCTAAAAGCCTTTCAAAGACTTCAATGTCTAAGAATCTTCTTCACTAATCTGGTTTGCTCGAACCTCAACCAAATTGAAAAAGAATATTGTTTACCATGGGCCATGACCTTGACATTATAGACATTTGCTACAACACCTTCAAATTACAATGTAGACAATTCCTTCAATTTACCAACTCGACAATAGCTATATCTTCAAATTACCAACTAGACAATTTCTAAAACTTCAAATTACCAACTAGACAATAGCTATGCCTTCAAATTACCACACCTTCAAATTACCAACTAGACATGTTCTACAACACCTGACACCACAACATTTGCTGAAACACCTTATTATGCGCTTTATTCCATACACGAGGCGGATGCTCACAGCGCTACACAAAATAGGAGACTGCTCTGTTGGTGCAAGGTCATGGATACACGACATGTAGATGTTGCAGTTAGTGTTTAGTTTAGAATAAATAGCCTGAACAGGAATATCTTGAGACGGGACGGTAAAAATTGTTATAGTTTCTGCCTCTTTCATGTGTGATGAGAGATGGCTCCATAGAGCTGGAGCATTGTAGGCAAATGACCTCTGCCCAGACATTGTCAGTTTAGTCTTAGTTTTTCAGCAGAACAAGGGATACGTACCTGGATAAGGTCAGATAAGTAGGAAGGTGCCAACTGGTTGTAACTGGGGCACTGAATTCGTATCAATTCCGGCATCGCGTAACGTAAAATGGACGGGGCCAATTGTAAGAAACAGTTCGTTATAAGCGTGTTCGGTATAAACGTAGTTTACTGTATATTGAAGTTCTATGTATCAACTTTGACAAACTGCTTCCACCAGTATCATGTTTTAAGCAGGAAAACCTTTTCTGATGGGTATGGTATCAAACGTATTTAACTACATAACTGGAAGAATGTTAAGAACCACTAATTTATTTTCATATATTCTTAACTACAAAATATCTTTTGGAAATATCTACATATGACATTGACCTTATTTTGGGAAATATCTAAGATACCACAGACACATAATATACTGTTGTTATAAAAACACTGTTAGTCAACGAAGACTGAGCCATACGATGTGAAGAAGCAGGGCGAGCAACTGAAAGGGCAGTCAAATAACGTTTAAGTACATAATATAAAATAACACAAACGATTCGGTTATTGTGTTTCCATATGAATATATCAACTTACAAACAAAAGCTGATGTGTTTCGTCAGGAAACATACTGGATACGATTTACAAATAAAATCGACAAAACCCTTTCATGTTGACAAGAAATCTCTGCCAAAAGTCTATTAAATGATTCCGACAATGCCATGAGCTTGTGATTATGAATAACTATCATGATCAAATGGTGATGATACTAGTTGTTCGCAAAAAGATGAGCCTATCCTGCCCGTCACAAACACATGCAAAGGTAAGTCAATTGTTCACCTGACAAATAACACGGAAACATATGGTACAAGTCAAAATGGAGTATTGCATCTGACATAATTTTTGTCACTGGTGCGTCCTTTTATGGAAATATAGGGTAATAGGTGTTTAATTACTTCTAAGGTATATATATATATATATATATATAATATATAATAATTTATGAACAGTTTCATGTGTACGATGATTATAAAGGTTGTATATATGCGTTTATTGAGGTACACACACATCACCCGGTATTCACACTGTAAACATGCATTTACTTCAAATTCATAACCATTGTAGACAACAAAACAACACGAAATCAGCGACATCATATTGTCCAATATTGCAATTCAAACCCGCCCACCCTGATCAGCCAATCAGTAAACAGTAGTTCGCTAGTAGGTGTGGCCTTTTGTTCGTCGATGTATGAGCCAATCAAATGTCATGGAATAACTTGCAAATTATTTATTTCAGTTTCAATTATTATTTGTTTTAGCTTTTTCTACGTTATATATAGCTCATAATCGTACTACAATTATCTGCTCTATTGAAATGCAGTGCTTTTATACTGAGACCATGTGGAGAAACCGTATTAAACAAATACCCACTTTCTGATATCATCATCAGTGAACATTTAACCTAATTAACCATACACGTATTTAAACCATACATTGTAATTTATTTATGAAACATACACTAAATGTATGCACACAAGGTTGTATACATGTCCTTAAGTGTACTGGTCACTTTGGTTAATTTTAAGAAGCTTGCAAAATAATTTTTACAATTACCCTCCCACCTGAATATCTAACAAATAGTCGATCCCTAAGATGAACCCTTAAAAACGGTATTCTCCAGCATATTGACTTGTAACGCCGATCATTTACAATGTAGGTAACTATTAAACGTCAGACCCAGATAATAATCAGTCTCGATTATCTGCCCTAACAGATTCTATTGGGCGTACGAGGCAAAGTAGAGGTGAAAATTATATGAATGGATCACTGAAAAGCAGTGATGATACCAGGTGTTCGCGAAAAAGTGTTGTTTTTTCCCTAACGCCGCATAGCAGGACTCCTACCATACGACGTCATAGGTAGGGTGTCGTTTGCGTTTATTCCACACGATATACTGTATTTATTTAAACAAACCACAATATCCACAATTGACCCAATTGTAAAGATGAACATTCCAAGAAATATATGTATGACATGAATTAATATCTGGAATAAATTGAAGGTTATTTCAGAAACGGTGACAAAAAACGTCCTCAATTAAGTCGTTACAGGATGGCAAAATACGATCTTCTTTCAATATTTCTCTTACATTTGATAAATGGAATTAATTATCAGATTCATTATTACGAATGGACATTTCGACTTACCTCATCCTGACTGGTACCCAAATTATATTTAAAGAGAAAACTTTAGTATATTGCAACTTCGTTATTATTAATAACGACGTTTCGGGGCTACTTCTGGCCCCTCTCTAGAGGGACCGAGAATACAAGAATAAATGACACTTTTTTATGAATAACAACTTCTGTTATCCATAAAAAGTGGCATGTACCCATGTTCTTCCAACATGTAACTACCTATCAACACTTTTAACCATTATAAGTTTCATGGCTACATGTTCTTCAAACTTCTCAATGCCTGTCAATTACGTAACTTTTCTCTATCGAAACTCCAAGGCTCCAAGGAATGACATAATTTCCGTATGACACACTTAATCTCGCCTACTCACCTACAAACTGTTCTTTTATAGCTGGATCCTTTGAGTCCCCAAATCCCGGAGGAAACACGGGAAATACCGTAATCTGTGCTTCAACACACACACTCCATAATGCCACAAGAGCTACTCCAAAAACTTCCCTCATCCTGGTTGAAAAGTAGGGGGTGTTAGGTCTGTGTTACGTAACCTTGTATAACCCCTCTCGTATAAGATCTGGTAGCAGGTTCAAGCAACAACTCTTATGTAGCTCCACAGAGACCTACGTCAGAAAGAGAGTAGCACCTGGTTGCGGTCCTTTTATAATCAAAAGAAGCTGACGCTCTTGAAGACACTGTTGAAGGATGTTCCACTACGTGGGTATCAAGCTGAATAGTCAATAGCCACGTGTCTGGAGGGTATCATCAAGCAAGTGACATCCCCATCCCTTTCCATGTGACGTAGGCATGACTTCAATCTTTAAACATTGACTCAGGGAGGTGGTCAAACGTAGCCTTCTCTCAGACACTTATCTCGTACATTGAAACGACTTCCTTCTTGAGACTGAACCTTCGCTCGGTCTTTAACACACACAGTGTGGAATGTATGCAATTGCTCAAGAGTGTGGATCTTGGCGTTGTCTGTTGTACAAGACAAAAGGTTCCACCAAAATCATTATCTGCATTACGACATTTATGAGGATGAATGATGCGGGTGGGTCTTCTGGATTATCTTTGCAAGCTTTGTATAAGCTCATTTACACCGTCAGCACGCACCCCAGCAGCATCATTATACCCCAGTGACCCTCTTGATAGTGGGTATTGTTTGAGAAGTTGTTAATGCCGGCTTGGTGTTTGCTGCCTGTGCACATATCACCATCACCCGACATTTCCTGCGGTCCCTCCTAGAAACTACCTTACACAACTCATCTGCTCATGCAGGTCAAAACACAAGAAAGATGAAACAATAAATTCATTTTGAAGGTTTTTCATCGTAAACAATAAAGTTTCATGTTTATCTACGTTAAATTAAATTCATTTGAAAGGCAACAAATAAATCTCGATCCTTTATTTCTCGCGTTTTAAGTTTGATCAATTAGTGAAATGCTTGTGATTGCTTCAGATAAGCAGTATAATATTGTATCAATATTTAAAAATATGGTTTGGGCTGTGGAGTGTTTGGTTATTAATTTGTACATCATTCTTTGATCTTTGTAAAGCCTTACCTGAAGAACCTTTATAAAAAAAATTCTAATAATTTCCATATAAAAGAGTTAGAAATACTATAAATATTCACAATCGATATCTTGATCTTGTTTGGCTTTTCATATTGCCTGTAATGCTTTATCATATTATAGATGTTTGTACTGTTCAGTCCTTGTCAGCGTTCGCATGTGCATCTTTGTAAGATTGACAGTTCTGAAGATAAAATGACAGGAGATGTACATGCGTGCTGGCTTTTATTATATTCATATCATTACACGTGATGCTAATTACGAAAGGCATTGTTATTCTCAGCTGCCTGCATTTTGTATTCATGTACAAAGTCGTTTCAAATTGAGTCCCCCCGTTTGGATTCCGAGAAGAATTGCTCGGGTGGTTAGGTGTGACTTGGTTGACTGAGTGGCACCGTGCCCCGACTGGGCGTCACCGTGCCCTGACTGAGTGGCACCGTGCCCTGACTGAGTGCCATCGTGCCCCGACTGAGTGGCACCGTGCCCCGACTGGGCGTCACTGTGCCCTGACTGAGTGCCATCGTGCCCCGACTGGGCGTCACTGTGCTCTGACTGAGTGGCACCGTGCCCTGACTGAGTGCCATCGTGCCCCGACTGAGTGGCACCGTGCCCCGACTGGGCGTCACTGTGCCCTGACTGAGTGCCACCGTGCCCCGACTGAGTGGCACCGTGCCCCGACTGGGCGTCACTGTGCCCTGACTGAGTGCCACCGTGCCCCGACTGGGCGTCACTGTGCTCTGACTGAGTGCCACCGTGCCCTGACTGAGTGCCACCGTGCCCCGACTGAGTGCCACCGTGCCCCGACTGAGTGCCACCGTGCCCCGACTGAGTGCCACCGTGCCCCGACTGAGTGCCACAATGTCCTGACAAACCTCGGACAACCTATATAGTGCACAATACCCACCTGTAAGCATCCCCTGGACAACCTATAAAGTGCACAATACCCTCCTGTTAACATCCCTCGGACAACCTATATAGTGCACAATACCCACCTGTTAGCATCCCTCGGACAACCTATATAGTGCACAATACCCACCTGTTAACATCCCTCGGACAACCTATATAGTCTACAATACCCACTTGTTAACATCCCTCGGACAACCTATATAGTCTACAATACCCACTTGTTAACATCCCTCGGACAACTTATATAGTACACAATCAACATCTATTAACAAGACACGGACGACCTATATAGTGCACAATCCACATCTATTAACAACACAAGGACGACCTATGTAGTGCACAATTCACATCTGTTAACATCCCTCGGACAACCTATAGAGTGCACAATCCCCATCTGTTAACATCGTTGTGGAAGCATGTATGTATCGCCATTGATAGATATTGTACCCGTGAGTCATGTGTCTATCGACTTTAATGCTGTTCATTTGCTGGTGTACTGATTTCCCTTCGTACAAACAAAACATAATTCGAACTCAATTCACTCAGTTATCCCTGACCAATTTACATGTATATTGTATAAGATATACAATGTAAGAATCCTTTTCGGCACTAGGATCAAATGTAGGCATTCGTCTTCTCCCTCGCTATCCATAGACGATGGCTCCATGGCCATTAATGTATAAAGCTGGCTAATCAAGACGAATGCTTGATATACATCATATTCTTTTGAGTTATATAAAGCGGGCTCCGAAAATATGAATCAAACTAACATGGGCTGAGAATTGACCGGAACCTACCTCCTTAACTGTGAAATAATTCTACAATGACTGAAATATTTTGGCGTTTGTAACTTGCCTGAGTGCAAATGTCAGTTATGTTACACACTGGCTGACCCACTGACTAACAAATACATGTATACTGTGAATGGTGGGCCCATATTTCAAGTCGTGACGCCCGCTGTTGCACTACCGCATCACACTGATATGTTACTAATGTTAAGAAGCAAACGCAACATGACGGACAAGGTAAAAGTAACACAATTAGTTTTTGTCCTACATGGTCGGACATACACCTTTAAAAATAAGTGACGCTCCGTCATCAAGTAGAAAATGCCCTTATTGACAAAATGTTAATCCAGTGTTTTCACCAATATGCATTTTCAAGCCTCCAATGTGGATAATCAGTGTTACTTGATCTTGACCCATATGCAGTTAGTGCTCTTTGTATGTATATATCTATATTTGCTACTTATAAAACTCCTGTATTTTGTATGGGGTTAGCAATTGCATGATAACTTGCATGGTTGGAGGGGTGGCGTAATTAAAACGTTCACTGGTCATGCCAAAGACCCGGGTTCGATTCCCCACATGGGTACAATGTGTGGAACCTTTTTTTTCTGGTGTATTGCTTTAAAAGCGGCGTAAAGCCATACTCAATCGCTACTTGCAAGCAGGTCAGAAGGTTGCAGTAATAACAAAAGTTAACAATCCACCCTAACAGTGCCAGAATAAAATATGTAACTAAACTCAAATCCTAAAATAAAAAAGCAACTGGTTTTCACAAATGCTTTCTAGGTTGCTCTGAAAGGTCACCAATGTGTTACAGCTGGAAAGGTTCTTTTCTCGACAGATTAATGATAAGTTTGTCTTCAGTGTCACGTTTCTAGCTGGTCTATTCCGTGCTTAACATTTGCTGTGAACAAATCAGTGAGACCTCAGACATATATGCATGACCTGTCATTGTAGATCATTGCTTGCCTCACCCGGCTATGTCTAATATTTGTTACTCATGTTTTCAAGCCTCGATAAAGCGTTCAAAATGAAGGACAAAAATGATGTCCGATGAAATTTCATATGTTCCCGTGATTTTTTTAGTTGAACAATTGACTTGCCTTTGCATGTGTTTGCGACGGTGCCACCGGTGGGACATGACATGCTCACCTTTTCGCGAACACCTGGTATCATCACTAAATGATGGTGATTCTTAAACACATGATCCTGATATATTCGGCATCGTCCTATCGACTCTTTGTGGAGAGATTTCTGTTGGATATGGAAAGGGTTTTGTTGCTTTATTTACTTACATTTTGCACTACGCGACCACTTGCAAGCAGTGTTTGAATTAGGGAAGTGGGGTTGCCTAGTGGTTGAAGCGTTCACTCGTCACGCTGAAGACCCGGGTTCGATTCCCCCACAATGTGCAAAGCCCATTTCTGGTGTCCCCCGCCTAGATATTGATGGAATATTGCTAAGAGCGGCATAATACTATACTCACTCATTCACTCACACTCATTGTATGAAGTAGTTTCCAACGTTCACTGGCCAGGGGGCTGTTGCAAGCCCTCATCATATTTTACAAGCCCTTCTTTAAGGATGCCGCCATTTGCAATATGTACTACAATGGTCTTGGGATGATTACGCTGAACAACGGTGAAGCTGATTGGCTGCTGGGTAATATACGTCTGTCTGACGTTTGTGGCGGTTCTCAGACCTTCACACGCAGAGCTTATAACTTGAACATCAGTCATGATCAATGTTCACCACAACCGAGTTTCCGATAAACTACGAAATGATTTTTGTTTGTTTGTTGTTTAACACCGAATAGTAATATTTCAGCTATATGACGGCGGTCTGTAAATAATCGAGTCTAGACCAGACACTCCAATGATTGATACAATGAGCATTGATCTTCGCAATTGGGATACGAAGACAAGCATGAAGTCAGCGAACCTGACCATTCGATCCTGTTAGTCGCCTCTTACAACAAGCATAGTCGCCATTTTCGGCAAGCATGGGTTGCTGAAAACCTTTTTTACCCCGGATCTTCAAGGGTCTCTACGAAATGACTTTGACATGAAATGACACCTAAACTGATTTAACGATTCGAAGAAAATACGAGAAATCAATAAATATTGACCAAAATGTTCATCTTGACAGTCGGGCCAGCTTTGCGGAAATGTTACTAGCCCAATTTAAAAGTGACTGGCATTTGACTAGCGGGCAGGCAGCTATTTCGAACACTACATGTAAGCATAAACACTTATAGAAACTCACAACCCAGAAAGAATATAACGACAAAATAAGACCCCTGAAGATCCGGGGTAGAATAGGTCCGCAAAGACGACTATGCTTGTCGTAGAGGCAATTAATGGGATCGGGTGGTCAGGCTCGCTGACTTGGTTGATGCATGTCAACGATCCCAATTCCGTGGATCGATGCTCATGATTCGGTCACTGGATTGTCTGGTCCAGACTCGATTATTTACAGACCGCCGTCATTCAGCTGGAATATTGCTGAGTGCGGAGTATTTATTTGCGTCTTTGAAACGGCAGAATAATGATCTGTTTGTATTCAGTGTCATGTTCCTCGCTGGCTTGTTCCGTGGTTGACATTTGCCGTGAACAAATCATTGAGGCCTGAGACCAACATGTACTTGCACGATCCATGATTAAAGTTCCTTGTTCACCTAGTTAGGTGTGTACATCTGGGTCCTTCTAAGTCAACTCTTTCGTGACCTGAACACCTGCTCACCTTGTGAAAAAAACATAAATTATAAAATACCCGATCGCGAATAACCAGTAATGGACCCGTAAACCATAAGGCTAGTTGAATATTGAATATTTGTCTTCTCGTTGTTGGAACATTAACTTCAGAAAACGTGTACTCAGTCAACATTCATCTTTTGCAAATGTGGAAAGTTGATTTGCCTTTGCATGTGTTTGTGATGAGTGCCGCCGGGTCAGGATAGCTCACCTTTTTCGCGAACATCGGGTATCATTAATGTTTAATAGTGATTCATTAACACATGCTCATGATACCGCCACGAATCGTCGGCAAATCATCCATATATCTTGTTCAGGGTGTAAGAATATGTGCCGCGTGTTTCGAAATGGCATTCCTGTTTGTCATAGCAATAGCATCGTCTTTCGGGCAAATGTATTTCAAAGTAACTATGACCCGACACTGTTTTTCGTTTATTTTAAGTTCGAGATAAGTGGACGTCATGTGTATATAGAAAGTGAGGACCTCGTTAGATAAGTTTCATTTATGTGTATAAATATAAGGAGTGATGTCCCTAGGTACAAATAGCCCCAGAGCGCTAGGCAGGTTATTTAGACACCCTGGCTTCTCGCATGTTCATGTAAATTTAACATGTGTTTGTGGCGGGTGACACAACTGGGGCATGACACGCTCACCTTTTCGCGAACACCTGGTGTCATCACTATTTGATAGTGATTCATAAACACATGCTTATGATATAGTCGGAATCGTACAAAGGACTCTGCTTTTAGCAGAATTCTCTTATGAGTTAGGGATTAATCGCTATTATTTACTTTTCCTCAAGAATCAACTATGTCTGAGGATCTAGTGCAAATGACTCTTTATGCGAAGCCGACCGTATCCGTGGTCTAGTGGTAGAGCGTCCGCCCGGAGAGCGGAAGGACCGGGGATCGATGCCCGGCCGCGTCATACCAAAAGACGTTAAAAGATGGTACTTCTTGTTACCCGGTCTGGTGCTCGGCATTAAGGAGCTAAAACAAGGACTGGTCGGCTCGGAATCAGTATACGGTGTCTGGGTGGGGTATTGATGTTAAACTGCGGCATGGTATCTCAGTGGGCTCGCACTATAAAATCAGCGTTAGTCCGGACTAGTACAAGCAGGCAAACACACACACACACACACACACACACACACACACACACACACACACACACACACACACACACACACACACACACACACACACACACACACACACACACACACACACACACACACGTACGCACACACACGTGCATGAACGTCGCTTTATAAGAGCAATAATCTTGGACGCGACCTAAACCCCATTTTATACGAAGCCTAATTACTCCCCACTAAAGACGAGAACACGAAAACACATCACGATGTCAAGTGTGATTTATATGATAATCAATGCAAATGTTACATGAATTCTCAATTGTGTGCATAATGTGCCTATGCCCGGATATCTTCATCGCATTGAACCCATCTTCTTGACACACACACGGGTAGGTATATATCCGGTATATATCCTCACCGAAGCCTTCACTTAGGTCTTATTCGTTCCATTTTATAACAACATGAAACATTAAAGACTAGGTCTACGAGGTGAGCCAGGTATCGATGTCTGTGTGGCATCTTGTATGTCTTTGTCCCGGCTAAATCTCCTCAGCTACTCCCCTACATGAAGGGACCACAATACTTGGTAATCACCAGCTGTAAGAAAATGAAAAGAAAACCGAGTTAAGTCTAATATTTTGATTCCTTTTTGAAAACCAAATGTAGTATGTTGTAGGCAGTAAATTTGACTGAGAGAGGAATTTGAAATTTTGGACCCCTCCCTTTTAACAATGCATTTAAAAAAAATGAGTTTCATGCAGTGTACAATAAGTGAAACCCGCGGTTGTTGTCCGCTGTCGTTATAGGGCTAGAATAATTCTAGACGCGGCGTAAAATTCAACTCACTCACTCACCGTATTTGTAAATAAATATTTTACAAATATTATGCAGCCCTGCCATCGATTTAGAAACATTAATCTATCATGCACACTGTAAAACATGTGTTTAGATCCTAAACACAAACCTAAACGCGTTTCTTGTCCCATTGTTATGACGCGTTTAGGGTCTGAACATGTTTAGGATTGTGTTTAACAGCTAAACGGGTTTAGGGTCTAAATGTGGAACAACCCCGTATCTCCACCCCTTCGTGTCCTGCAAGATAGAAATACTATCAGTCATAGAGTAACAAGACATTTATGAACACTTTTGAAATTTCGGTTGGACACGAACCTCCAACCTTTGGTGTACCACCTTTGCTACAGAGATCATTGACGTCACAAATGTCAATATTTCTAGTCACCATTATGATTTAGCTATGGTTATTTGTACATAATAATGTAAATATTCTGCCAAGTTCGTTATAGGCCCTGGTGGTATATGTTTTATGCAAGTGCCTCTGAATCTGATTTCTACGGTGGCCCATAAGGGACATTGAGTCTGTTTTTCAATATTTTGATATTTCACCTACTTTTATCGTAACCATTTGCAAATTAACATAATTTGTCATACCAATATGTAATAAATCATGTATAAAAACAACTGAAAACATGGAAAATGTACTTTCAAGTAGCTATTGAATCGCTGAAATGTGAAGCGAAAATGTCAAAATCTAAAATGAAAATGTCAAAAACAAAAACGAAAAGGTCAAAAACAAAAGCGAAAATGTCAAAAACTAAAACGATTATTAAAAGATAATAGTATCACCGTGCTGGAAATAGTTTTCACCGCGGTTTGAAATAGTTTTCTGTATTTTCATTTTAGTTTTTAACATCTCGTTTTTGTTTTTGACATTTTCATTTAGTTTAGTCCCTACTTGACCCTTGATATTTGCATCTCTATCCGCATCTCTATGACCCCAACGGATATCGTTTCTATCCGTCGGATTTATCCTGCCGAGAAACCTACGCATTATATGATAAAGTATGTTATCCAATCAAATCTGTACTCTTTGAGTTAAACAAAAACATTTTGCTTTCCAAAAAATAATTTCATGTCGTTTTGACATTGTATGTTAAAAGTCCTAGAAATAGTGCAACTCACCTCATCCATAAAACCAGTGAAATATCGCTTCCTCGTCCCGGCTCCAATACTCAGCGGGCAAGAATTCCCGACTGCACGCACACCTAAAATGGACATTTGTCAATTTCTATAAAAATAACATCTTTTGCAAACTCATTAGAAATAAACTACAATCACCAAAACAAGTTGCAATTTACATGAAATAATATTCTTAACGTTGACTTTAGAGAACTTAAAATTTGAAAAGTCGATAAAATTCGAAATTAGATAAAACAAATACAGTAAACTACGATTATAACGAACTCAAAGGGACCACTAATTTTAGTTCGTTATATCGGTCAGTTCGTTATAAGCGTGTTCGTTATAAACGTAGTTAACTGTAGCTCATTTCCCTTTGCCTGTTTATTACATATTTTAAGGTGTGCACGCATAGGTTTGTGTTCATGGGTGGTTCAGTGGTTTTAAGAGCTGTGCAGAGTTGCATCCCTTGGCTATGGATGGATCCGCTAGTTTTTGGTTCGAATCCCAGATTCACCCTGGTTATGATCCTTGGGTTGTCAACTCCATAACCAAAGTTTTGGGTTTCACATGGTAATACAGGTTGGAGTTTCCGCCAACATTAGCTGATCATACTGACTAACCTTTAGGGAATGTGATTGGTGTGATTCTGTTGTAGCTACCCTGCGTGATTCTCATGAGCCCTCTTTCGTCCTCCTTAGCGAAGTACACTTGGGTCATTTTCGTGAGATCCTGCAAATATATAGGTGAGCGTATAGCGTTGTATGCTAACGCTGATTTGAGTTTCAATAATAACCTCCGTGCTAAATATATGCATGTATGTAAAGAAATGATATAAGTTCCAGTTTGGAAGGAACGGGACACGGGTTGCCAGGTCATCGAAGTTGCGTCCCTTAGGCATGCCGGAAACTTGGTTTCAGATTCGCCCTGATGTTTCTTGTCTCACTCACTCACTCACTCACTCACTCACTCACTCACTCACTCACTCACTCACTCACTCCACATGTCTATAATGTGTGAAACCCATTTCCGGTGTCCCCCGCCGTGATATTGCTGGAATATTGCTAAAAGCGGCGTAAAACCACACGCACTCACTCACTCACTTACTCACTCACTCACTTTTCACTCCTTTTATTCGCTTCACTCACTCACTCACTCACTCACTCACTCGGAGTCAGTATACTTTGAGTGGGGTATTCATGTTAAACTGCGGCGTGGTATCACATATACAGTGGGGTAACACTATAAAATTGGCATTACTCAAGCAGTCACACACACACGTGCATACACGTCGCTATATAAGTGCAATAATCTTGGACGCGACGTTAAACCCCATTTCACCTGACCTGACCCCTCACATAACTAACAAATACAAATTTTCATTGCTTACAAATTTGAATAATTTTTATATAACAACAGATAATATCTAAACAGACAAATTTAGACAAACCATTGGCTCGCTGATCACTGTAGTGTTGTAGGTACCAGAGTCACCTTCCGGAACGACGTAACACACGACCCGACCTAAGTTGAAGCCTTCCCCTTGTAGTTTACAGCCGTACGTCGCCATGATGTCGCAAGCACTGTTGTCGGCGAGGGCGTAGTCACGATGGGCTATGGCGTCCCGTGGTGGGAAGGTCAACCCAGGGATTGCCCTATCAGATTGAAAGGATTGGAAGGCGAACGTCAGATCAAAGTAAAGGCCAAGGTCGTTGCCCATGACCTTGTGTGCAGAAAACGTCTGCCTGCCGGAAAAGTAGGCAGCGTTTCCATACCGTTCACTGGGATTGACGATGGTGCCGTTGCCAGTGATGGCGCTGGAGTCCATGAGCGGGTTGTTGTTTCTTGCCAATCTCCACGAATCGTCCTGGGACTTCAAGTGGACAACGGTCACTGTCTCACATGCTGTAAAACCACACAAGACATTAGTGAGTGAGTGAGTTAGGTTTAACGCCGCTTTTAATAGTATTCCAGTTATATCGCGGCGTGTCAGCTTAATGTGGGAGGAAAGCCTGAAGTGATGCAGGTCTTAGATGTTAACCACTTCGGTGAAACCCACGAGCACGGGCATGGTGCTGACAAACCTAGAAACATAATCGGGGCGAACCGGGTTTCGAACCCACAACCATAGGTTTCTGGCGTGCCCCAAAAGACATTAATCGACGGTGGCGTAGCCTAGTGGTTAAAGCTTTCCGGGTTCAATAACACATTTTGTCACAATGTAATGAACCCATTTCTGGTGTCACCCACCGTGATGGTACTATGAAACGTCAACGCCAGTGAATAACCAGTCTCGATTATCCGACGAAACAGATTCCACTGGATGTAAAAAGCAACATAGCGGTGAAAATGAATGAATGGATGACTGAAAATCAGTGATGACACCAGGTGTTCGTGAAAAGGGTATGCATGTCCTGCCCTTCCGGCGGCGAGACAACCTACAACACTTAACGTCAACGTCATAACGTGTCCCCTATTCAAGCGTTTAATAAATCTAATTACGCTGATAACATTCACCGTGAACTAGCAGTAGGCTCGTGAACAAGTGATTTCAAGCTGTTACCAGACATTGGCGATGCTCATATGTCACTGCCCCCAACGATGGTACATGATTGTATCCAAACTAATCGGTTTAAAACAAAAGTAAGAATGAACCTGAATGTGTTCAATAAACGTTTTTGGATCTTTTTGAGTATTTTTTCAATAGTCATGTGTGACAGTACCTCCGAAAGCAAAACCACCAAACGGCAACGATAATTCGTTATATTGTTTCGGATTGGGGGGTTGAGATTTCGTAATGTATGCAGAAAATCAATTTAGGAAACATTTAAATAAGATGAATAAATTTTAAACGAGACCATCAATATCGATCTACCTTGAAAACCGTATTGAAATTATTATTCATTCGTTCCCATGTCAATATTCATAGATCCATATTCACATAGTCATTAGTATACCCGCAAATCTGTGTATGGAGTGACATGTGAGGGTAATTTGCCGTACTATGTCAAGAGCAATGGAAGCAAAAGCAGTAGTGTTCACTAAGTTTCAGTGAACCATTCATATTATTGTTTTCACTAGTTTGCCTTTTACGCCCAAAGGCGTCTGTTTTTGCGAATAATCGAGACTGGTAATTCTCTGTCCTTAACGTTAAATATACATATTGCTGAGGTACAATCAGTAGTTATAAGTATGGAGTATACAGTGGCATCAATAGTAACGTGAGTGTACAGTAACAACAATAGTGACGTTTCTTGTAGTGGTGATGAAGACGTAGAAGAAGATGTGGAGAAGGAAGAGGAGCAGGAAGACGAGTGAGTGAGTGTTGTTTTTCTCCGCTTTTAGCAATATTCCAGAACTATCATGTCGAGGAACATTATAAATGGGCTTCACACAATGTACACACGTCGGGAATCGAACCCTGGTCTGCGGCGTGACGCGCAAACGCTTTCACCACCAGGCTACCCCACCGCCCCGCAGGAAGACAAAGTATATGAGCGAGTACGTTTAGTCTTTGGGTTACCTGTTATAATCATCAATAGTGTTTAAGCAATGTCATGACAGAGGACAGACACTATTACACAAGGCAAGATATTGACATAACTTAAATTATCAATTGCAGTTCTCTTTGAACAGATCGACCCCAATAAAGTAAATGGTGGATTTATCGCGTCACACTGACAATAGGACCCATCTATGCATGATTCCTCACAAGGATAAACTATTTGTAACTCGGAGTATCCCCTTTCCAACTACAACATGGTTAATAGCTGTGAAAAACAATAATTCACTCCATGCAGTGAAAAAGAGTTTGATGTTATAGGATTAACGTGGTATAGTTACGTTTTTCCGTGGCGTTGTAGGGCTGACAACCACATTTCGTGTAGTCCTGGTACTTGTAGCCCAGGAGGCACTGCAAGTTAAAGAACTCAACTCGGGGCTCAGGTTCATCCGCGTATTGCACTGTCTGGTAGCTTAAGTAGTAGTCGTCGCTGGAAAGGTTAGGCTCACATCTCTCGCTGACTGCAATACAAAAGTGCTCTCTCATACATTGCAAGTAACACTGGCATCTGGAACACTGCAGATAGCCTGGCTCTCTCGCTGACAACAATGCTTGTAACATTGGTATGTCATTGACTTCAAGTAACATTGTTCTCTCGCTGGCTGCAATGCCAGTAACATTGATATATCATTGACTTCAAGTATCATGTCTGTCTCTGTGACTGCAATGCAAGTAACATTGGGTTAACATACATTACAAGTAACGTGTCTCTCTCGATGACTGCAATACAAGTAACATTGGTCTAACATTTAATGCCAGTGACATGAGTCTCTCGCTGACTACGATACAAGTTATCACTTATCTCTCACAAACTGCCGTGCAAGAACTATTGATCCCCAAGTAACTGCAGGAAAAGGAGCATGACCCCTCGATAACTGCAAGTAGCAGGACCCCTCGATAACTGCAAGTAGCATGACCCCTTGATAACTGCAAGTAGCATGACCCCTTGATAACTGCAAGTAGCATGGCCCCTTGATAACTGCCAGTAGCATTGTCCCCTGATAACTGTAAGTAGCATTGCCCCTTGATAACTGCAAGTAGCATGACCCCTTGATAACTGCAAGTAGCATGGCCCCTTGATAACTGCAATAGCATGACCCCTTAATAACTGCAGGGAGCATGGCCCCTTGATAACTGCAAGGAGCATGACCCCTTGATAACTGCCAGTAGCATTGTCCCCTGATAACTGTAAGTAGCATGACCCCTTGATAACTGTAAGTAGCATGGTCCCTTAATAACTGCAGGGAGCATGGCCCCTTGATAACTGCAAGTAGCATGGCCCCTTGATAACTGCCAGTAGCATTGCCCCCTGATAACTGTAAGTAGTATGACCCCTTGATAACTGCAAGTAGCATGGTCCCTTGATAACTGTAAGAAGCATGGCCCCTTAATAACTGCAAGTAGCATGACCCTTTGATAACAGCAAGTAGTATGCCCCCTTGATAACTGCAAGTAGCATGACCCCTTGATAACTACAAGTAGAGGGACCCCTTGATAACTGCAAGTAGCATGCCCCCTTGATAACTGCAAGTAGCATGACCCTTTGATAGCAGCAAGTAGCATGCCCCCTTGATAACTGCAAGTAGCATGACCCCTTGATAACTGCAAGTAGCATGCCCTCTTGATAACTGCAAGTAGCATGACCCTTTGATAACTGCAAGTAGCATGACCCTTTGATAACTGCAAGTAGCATGCCCCCTTGATAACTGCAAGTAGCATGACCCCTTGATAACTGCAAGTAGAAGGACCCCTTGATAACTGCAAGAAGTATGGCCCCTTGATAACTGCAAGTAGCATGGTCCCTTGATAACTGTAAGTAGCATTGCCCCTTTATAACTGCAAGTAGCATGACCCTTTGATAACTGCCAGTAGCATTGTCCCTTGATAACTGTAAGTAGCTTGACCCCTTGATAACTGTAAGTAGCATGACCCCTTGATAACTGCAAGTAGCATGGTCCCTTGATAACTGCAAGTAGCATGGTCCCTTGATAACTGCAAGTAGCATGCCCTCTTGATAACTGTAAGTAGCATGACCCCTTGATAACTGTAAGTAGCATGACCCCTTGATAACTGCAAGTAGCATGGCCCCTTGATAACTGCAAGTAGCATGACCCCTTGATAACTGCAAGTAGCATGACCCCTTGATAACTGCAAGTAGCATGGCCCCTTGATAACTGCAAGTAGCATGACCCCTTGATAACTGCAAGTAGCATGACCCCTTCATAACTGCAAGTAGCAGGACCCCTTCATAACTGCAAGTAGCATGGCCCCTTGATAACTGCAAGTAGCATGCCCCCTTGATAACTGCGGGGAGCATGGCCCCTTGATAACTGCAAGAAGTATGGCCCCTTGATAACTGCAAGTAGCAGGACCCCTTGATAACTGCAGGGAGCATGGCCCTCTTGATAACTGAAAGTAGCATGGCCCCTTGATAACTGCAAATAGCAGGACCCCTTGATAACTGCAAGTAGCATACCCCCTTGATAACAGCAAGTATTATGGCCCCTTGATAACTGCAAGTATTATGGCTTTCTCGGTAACTGTAAAACGATGAAAAGGGTATCTTATTTACCGCAATGCATGTGACAATAATTTATGATGTGAAGTTTACACTATATACAGTGTTTCTATCAGACAAGAGGCCGGACATCGCGAAACTGACGTTCTTAAGCGCATGACGGACTCATTTTGATGTTCGTACGTTTTTAATTAAATTGAAATGACGTAAACACTTATGGACTACTTTATTTTCATATTTGTAGTGAGTGAGTGAATGAGTGAGTGAGTGAGTTGGGTTTAACGCCGCTTTTAACATTATTCCAGTTATACCGCGGCGTGTCAGCTTAATGTGGGAAGACAGCCCGAAGTGATGCAGGTCTCAGACGTTTACCACTTCGGTGAAACCCACGAGCACGGGTATGGTGCTGGCAAACCTAGAAACATAATCGGGGTGAACCGGGATTCGACCCCACAATCTGGCGTGCCCAAGGGACGCAACTCTGCACAGCGAATCGCGGCGCCTTAGACGACTGAGCCACCCGTGCCCCCTCATATTTGTAAAGTGGAGTTCTAATTTCTACATCAAAACATATATTTGTCTACCTCAAATAATAATGAAAATATATTAACAATGGCTAATCGGAATAATGAGACAAACGAATGGCATCATAATATATGTCCATGACAACAAGCTTACTGATAAACCTTGTCCTTGGTGCACATGCCAGATCACAATGCTGCGTCATGGCATTGAAGCCACTGTACGGGCTGTTGCATCTAGTCTTGACTATCACGTTATTGGAACAGGTCTGGTATCCACTGCAGGGGTCCTGGTTGATGGGCATCTTCATCCCCGTGTCACAGGGGTCTGGAACAGGCATTGTTCTCATGACAGTATGTACTGGTATCAGTGGACTTAACGTAGTGTAAAGTTACGACAATCGTAAATCCGTGTTAAAATATGACGATGACGACAATGACAACACGACGACGATAATGATGATGATGATGATGATGATGATGACGACGAGGGGGAGAAGAAAAGGAGGAGAAAAAGACGAGGAAAAAGGAAAGAAAGAAGACGATGGCGAAGTTTCAAATAGGTCTATATGTCCAGAACCGATATCAATGTGTGTGTGCGTGAGTGCGTGCGCGTGTGTGTGTGTGCGTGTGTGTATGTGTCTATACATAAAACTACCTCCTACTGCTCATTGTCACGCTTCAAAATACATTGTTGGCCAATGTATTCACCAACCATTTGTTTTAAGATTACTTTGGTGAGGTGAGGTGAGGTGAGGTGAGGTAAGGTGAGGTTAAAAGGAGTTTAACGTTGCGTTCACGTTTTATTGCACTCATATAGTGACGTGCATGTGCGTGCGTGCTTGCGTGCGTGCGTGCGTGTGTCCGTGGCTGCTTGTACTATAAAATGTATCAATTAGGAGATTATATGATTTTCGATTTTCGAATATTAGTGAGTATTCGATGCCCGGAAATATTATTTCGAAATGGTGACGTGAATCGATATTGCAAATATAACAAGTCATTAATTATTTTCCAAAGTACTCTTTTTCTGAGTGAACTCATACTTAATAACTATTATTTTAAACCAATCAGACAGACGCTCTATTTCGGTTTATATAGGTAAATGGAAAGATAATACGTACGTCCAACCCTGGCGGGACAACCATGACGATTTGGAATCGGTCTTTCGCCGTCTTGTAGAAACATTCTTTCCATAAATGGACCTCTGTCGTTGAATACTGCACCCTCAGGTGTCAGATAGCCAAACATCAGCCAGCTGGAAGGCCCAAACTGTAAACAAAACATGTACATGTTGCACGCTTTGCCGTGAGTGTAGAATCGTCCTATGTCGCTCAGACTGCAGTTACGACAAGCATCTGGAACCAAAGACACATGTGCATGTTTCAGAGAAATAAAGAAAGCAGAATAGGAAATAGGTTAAAACATCTTCGTCTGAGGATAATAACAAAATTTAACATTTAATTTTCGACAGTCGGTAAATGATCAAATCTGAAAAAGACGAATCAGTGGTTGGAGTTATGAACAAACAATCATGCCATCGGGACAAGACGTCAAGCAAACACCATGGTATGGAATCCTAGAAGGGCCATTGTCAAGGCGCTGCCCTTACACCAACAGGCAAATAGTTCCAAAATTCCATACTAAAGTCATTACACGTGATACAAATTTGGACCAAACATACACTTCACAGAAAGGCTATTTAATCATACAGACACATCGAACTGGGTTGACTCAACTGGTTAGTGGTAAGTGGTTTATGGTAAGTGGTTTGTGGTTAGTGGTTAGTGGTTTGTGGTTTGTGGTTAGTGGTTTGTGGTTTGTGGTTTGTGGTTAGTGGTTAGTGGTTAGTGGTTTGTGGTTAGTGGTTAGTGGTTTGTGGTTAGTAGTTTGTTGTTAGTGGTTTGTGGTTAGTAGTTTGTTGTTAGTGGCTTGTGGTTAGTAGTTTGTGGTTATTGGTTAGTGGTCAGTGGCTTGTGGTTTGTGGTAGTGGTTAGTGGTTAGTGGTTAGTGGTTAGTGGTTAGTGGTTTGTGATTTGTGGTTTGTGGTTAGTGGTTAGTGGTTAGTGGTTTGTGGTTTGTGGTTAGTGGTTAGTGGTAAGTGGTTTGTGGTTTGTGGTTTGTGGTTTGTGGTTAGTGGTAAGTGGTTTGTGGTTAGTAGTTTGTGGTTAGTAGTTTGTGGTTAGTAGTTTGCTGTTAGTGGTTAGTGATTAGTGGTTAGTGGTTAGATGTTTGTGGTTAGTGGTTTGTGGTTAGTGGCTTGTGGTTTGTAATTTGTGGTTAGTAGTTTGTGGTTAGTAGTTTGTTGTTAGTGGTTAGTGATTAGTGGTTAGTGGTTAGTGGTTAGATGTTTGTGGTTAGTAGTTTGTGGTTAGTAGTTTGTGGTTAGTGGTTAGTGGTTTGTGGTTAGTGGTAAGTGGTTTGTGGTTAGTAGTTTGTGGTTAGTAGTTTGTGGTTAGTAGTTTGTTGTTAGTGGTTAGTGATTAGTGGTTAGTGGTTAGATGTTTGTGGTTAGTGATTTTTGGTTTGTGGTTAGTGGCTTGTAGTGAGTGGTTTGTGGTTAGATTACTATGGTATAAAGCATGAAATAGTGATAATAGTACAATCTATACGAGCTTATATGTCTGTACAGGGCTGTGGGGTAGCCTAGTGGTTAAGCGTTCGCTCGTCACGGCGAAGACCCGGGTTCGATTTCCCACATGGGTACACGATGTGAAGCCAAATTCTGGCGTCCCCCAACGTGATATTGCTGGAATATTGCTAAAAGCAGCGTAAAACCAAACTCACTCACTCACTAATGTCTATGTGGGTGTACACGTGTAACCATTACGCCTTGTGTTATGTACTGTCATGAAATGTATGATGTCATAACCAGGGTGAACATTTATCAAGCATATACAAACCTAATTGATTTGAGAATACAATCTTCATCAGATTGGTAAAATACATTTAATAGTTACTCATGCACCTGCAACTAAGTAAACATGTGCCACTCTATCACATATATACGATACAATAGTGACCACTGGACCCTATGGTCATCTGATCTTGATACACGCCCAGTAATTCCAAACTACGTTTATAACGAACACGCTTTTAACGAACTGACCGATATAACGAACTTATTTTTAGTCCCGATCATTTGTTGTATAAATGCTATATAAATTTATATGCTTATTACGAACTACCGTCATTACGAACTAATAAGTGGTCCCTTCGAGTTCGTTATAACCGTAGCTTACTGTAGTGACTTTGTAGGTGCATTGTGTTGTCTGTGTACATATAATGTTTGTTGTTTGCCGCGTTATAACTGTAGTACTGTTGAAAGCGGCGTTAAACCCAACTCACTCACTCACTAATATTGCGCTTTTTTCCACACCACACAGGGCACGATCAAAGCGCTACACTATTATTACCACGGTGAGTGAGTATCTTATTACAAGATCATTATCATATGATGGATAGTGCCATCTAACAACCCAATAAATTTGGTATCACGATCCGATATATCCAAATTAGGTATTCTGGTAGATACATCGCTATTGACTTACAATCCTAATTCGTTTAGATTGGAGTTTCCCGTGAGTCTTTCTGTTGACAAACATGGCTGAAGATCACGTGACGCTATTAAATGGGGTGGTTCACTCAAACATTTTATTATATGCGATACTTCATTGAGCTAAACAAATATCTCAAACACCGATAATTTGAGTGAGTGAGTGAGTGAGTTGGGTTTAACGCCGCTTTTAACAATATTCCAGTTATATCGCGGCGTGTCAGCTTAATGTGGGAGGAAAGCCCGAAGTGATGCAGGTCTCAGACGTTTACCACTTCGGTGAAACCCACGAGCACGGGTATGGTGCTGACAAACCTAGAAACATAATCGGAGCGAACCGGCATTCGAACCCACAATCATAGGTTTCTGGCGTGCCCAAGGGACGCAACTCTGCACAGCGAATCGCGGCGCCTTAGACGACTGGGCCACCCGTGCCCCCTCCGATAATTTGAAGAATGACATTATACCATAAGTGATGATGCCTCTGTTCCCCAGTGTGTTCCCCAAGCCTCACATAATACACTTTTATCTGTAATATATGCTATTTGCAATACGGAAACACACCCGGCTAATATTAATATTAGGGGGCCCGGGTGGCCAAGTCGTTTAAGGCGCTGCGATTCGCTGTGCAGAGTTGCGCCCCCTTGGTTGATTGTTGGGTCGAATCTCGGTTCGCCCGATTAGGTTTCTAGGTTTGTCAGCACCATACCCGTGCTCGTGGGTTTAACCGAAATGGTAAACGTCTGAGACCTTCATGACTTCGGGCTTTACTCCCACATTAAGTTGACACGCCGCGATATAACTGGAATACTGTTAAAAGCGGCGTTAAACCCAACTCACTCACTCACTCACTCTTTATATTAACGCATGACAAGAAAATTATGCAGTGAAATATAAATGTATTTATGATCCTGTAATAATTAGACCATCAGCATTTCGAGATATATGTAGATTGTGTGAAGGACACTATTAAACTATAAGAAAATACTTAAGATATGTCTATATAGGGAAAAAACTACACTACAAAAATCCTCCAAAATATTCATGATCCTTTTTTTTCAGCATAAAAATGTGTGTGCATCTATAAGGCAATAATTTAAAAGGTAACACAACGAGTTAAATGCATAATTCGATATATCAGCTTATCCGAATTCGAGCTTCGAGAGGCAAATCGCTGACAGTTATTTAAAAAGAAGGATGTTACGGGGAAAACAATATAGCATACTGGCCTTAAGTAACACATCGAGTAAGAACAGTTCGAGTTATCAGTGTCCATTATTCGAAAACATTCTGTTTTGTATCATGAAAGTAAATAGGTTTGTGTGTACCCACCTTCGTAATACTCTTGAACAACAGGATCGTTTTGGTTTCCGAATACCCTTGGAACATGAATAAAAAGAACTTTTGCGTTCGATATTCCCAGCCATGCGGCCATAAGGCTGACCAACAGGATTTTCATTGTGATCTGTGTATCTCCCAAACACCTCTGGCTACCCACCCCGTTCTCCCCCTTATATAGCAAGGGGCTAACAATGAGATGCTAAATCGGTTTGTAATGGTTCAAGATGTTTACGTCGCATTCAACCTGGTAACGTGGTCAGTCTACAAGTACCTGGGCCTCTTGACGGGTGGGAGATTGCCCTAGATGGTCCCCTTTAACAAGCTGTCACGGGGTACAAAAAGTGTTAAACATTGACATAGGGGTGTGTCCACAATTATTCTTTTTTCACAACAATCGTCAAGGACAATTGATGACCAGCTCTTTAAACATCGCTACTTTCTTTGATGCTCTTTGATGTTGGGAAATGTTTATGAGAAACCGAAAAAACGCATCCAAACAAATGACGCTGCTATTGTATGGACCTTATTGTGAAAGAAATATGGAATATTTCGGAGAAATTGTTCTCTGCAAGAGGCCAGCTTTCCAATCCTTTGTCATTAGCACTCTAAGAAATCTTGGTAAGTGCGGAGTTAAGAAAAACATAACTTTTGATCGTTTGGATCTCAATTCACCATGCCACTACGCAGTGAAAATGACAGATGGCGAATGCTTTAATCCGGGACCTCACAGCGTGACGTCGGACGTCAGTTCGACGTCAACGGGTTCACTTATAGCGACGTTATCAATAGAACAACCACGTCAGAGGCCGCCCCAGTAATGGCCGCCCACCCGTGACAATCCCTCGCAAAGACATATGGATTCGAACCATGCATCTTCGACACAGAATCCGGACTGCAATCTCTGCCCGCACCATCCCTGGCAACCGAGGGGTCTCTGCGAGGACACCCATGCGAGGCGTCCTGCTTGGGAGGCAAGTGCTGATGGAAAAAACATCTACGTCAATGTCCTCAGTGGTGCAAACAAAATTTGCGGTGCATAGCACATGTTACTAGAGTTGTGCAGCAGTGTCTAGTATCAATGTGTTACCCTGGCCTGCAAGATCCCATTGTCTGGTACTAAAGAACACGTCTCGGACGCAATGGGATATATGGATATGGATGCGATAATATAGATAGAATATCCTTCACTACTTATTGTTTCAGTCGTTGTCGCGCCTAAAATGAGATGATATGACCATGATATTCTGATTTGTCCGCCAGCCGTATCGAATCTACGTAATATATTGCTGATGACAGCATGATTTTAAAGTCTTCATACCTTTAATCCCGACGAAAGCGGAAATTAAATATTGATACCATGTTCCGGGTTCACGATTACTGACAGTGTGAAAATATACCTCAGATCTAGACTTAAACACTGCTAAACAATATAACCACCTGCAGCGACCTAACTGCTGATCTTTACCCGGATTGTAGCCATGAGATCAAAATATAGACGACCAAACACTTTCCCCAGTAATAACAAATTTCTCGATTGTACGATTCCGACTATATCATGAGCATGTGTTATGAATCACTATCAAATAGTGATGATACCAGGTGTTTATAAAAAGCATATATATCCTGCCCCACCGGTGGTACCCGTCACAAACACATGCAAAGGCAAGGCAATTCGAAGTCTTCCTCCTGAACCTGGGATCGAATTTCATGTTTATCTGCTAAATCACTTCCCTGTCAAGAAAACCAATTCATGCGGCGTCTAATCGTATGTTTCAATCAGATCTGTTTGGGATTTGATACTTCTGGATAAATTAAAATCGAATAATTTCTAAATTCATGGTATTTGTCAATTATTGTATTGTAAGGGGATTCTGACAGAAGTTTGCACATCGGTATTTCGATTCATACCCCAATGAACCGAAAAAAATACACATTCAATGCTTATAATTACATTCGACAACGTCAAACATGTTTTATCTGCAATAGTTTAACAAAAAAAAACAGCTGTAAATATCAAAGCAGACAAAAAAATGACCAGATTGATAAACATTCCAGGTGTTTGAATATATACTGTGGCGTGACATGAATCAGGTGATCGTTTAATTTATGCACATAACTTGACACGCCTAAACAGTCAGTAGCCAATCAACAGAGAGTAGGATCAAAACAATGTTCACAGGACCTGTCAGTTAAGGCAAGAGGCGAGAAGAACTCGGCATCAGTCAGACTGTAACGAACCGGGAGAAATATGTCCAGGAGAAGGCGGCTGTTTCAAATGACATGGTCAGTTACCGCCAAATTCAAACATTACTTCCCTGAAAACGGGAAAACACAGTTGGAAAATGCTAGTTAGAAATCCGAAGACATGAAAGTTGAACCGAGGCGATACAATTGAGCAGAAAGGGAAATCCCTCGACTGTAATATTTGGATTCTCCGACAGTAATAAAAGTAGTGCGCCTCGGTGGGCGTGGCTTAATTTTTAACATTCATTGGGAAATAAATGCAATAACACGTGACCAATTCAGGTAATGAGAATGCAGGAATTTCAAGGAACACAACGAAAATATAATTATTGTAAGTTAAAGTTTTCATTGAAGAGCCGTCGAACGTTGACAAGCACGAATATCTGGACTCTGTATTTTTGTGTATATTTGATACTTATACGCCTGATGAAATCACTTGTTCCAAATTTGACGCATCAGTGACAAGAATGATGTTCGATGCAATTCTCTCTTTTGACTTGTACCCTATGGTCCCGTGTTTTTTCAGGTGAAAAATGTCCTTTGCATGTGTTTGTGACGCGTGTCATCGGTGGAGCAGGATATATTCACCTTTTCGCGAACACCTGGTATCAACACTATTTGATACGTACTTCGTACTCGATTGTTGCTTAAAGTTGTAAAAAGTAGACACAACAAGCTGAAACTGCTGGAATATTGAACACGAAAGGAAAAGTTGACTATTAGAAAGTCATGTCTCTTGTCATACAGTCTTGTGGATATGTTTTGTCATTCTGAATCGTTATACAGTAAAATACGTTTATAACAAACACGCTTATAACGAACTGATGGGTATTACGAACTTAGTTTGTGGTCCCGCCATTTGCTGTATAGATGTTGCATGTATGCTTATAACGAACTACGGCTATAACGCACTTAAATTAGTGGTCCATTTGAGTTCGTTATAACCGTAGTTTACTGTACATAGATCTGAACAGATGAGTCGCCCCAATCCCACCTCAGTATCTAGTGTAAGATGAGTAGGAAATACAAGGATTCCAAGTGAACACATGCAGATGTTTATTTAATTCCAGTTTAACATATATGTGTTTACATTGATCAATAACGTGTAGAACGATAACACAGCTGTGACACACGATTTCCTTTAGATACATCGGACAGATTCGGACACTATAACAACGGCGACTGGCTGTTTGTCAACAGTAGAATGGTCAGTGTTCGCCAGTGTGCGCCGTGTGTCGCTGGCCGCACTGGCTGCTTGACAGGATGTTAGCTGCAAATTGTCTGATCACACTCTCACAGGAACGAGTAACAGTGCTTGATCAAGAACATCTGGAAGAAAGAAAATATGTATATTTTTTAAAATGAAATATGTAATCTGGCAATTATAAGCACAGATATTATAAAACAATCTGTTTTGTTGTCGGTAACATATTTCCTATCCATTTGGGCTGTCATTACAACAAATATATCATGCAAATAAATATCTCAAATAGGGATTCTGTCCAAATAAGGGACTTCGTCCTCCACGTGTAAACATGCAAAAGTGCACACGACTTCGGAGAGTATTGGTTAGACGTCTAATGACGTCAACAGGAATTTCCCATCCCTTTCTCTCTCAGTTCCTGCACAATCTGGTCTCTCTGTTCATTGGAGAATTGGGGCGGATTCTCTAGAACAGTGTTCTGGCTCTGAACAGCTGGAACCTGCTCCCATCAGAAAAGAGTACACGTTGTCTGCCCAACGTAAAGGCTGAAGTCGATGGTGCCTCGTCAACGTCATCCCTCTGAATGGTCTATAGGCCCTTATAACATGCTGTCGTAGTGCGACGTAGCAGTTTGTTCAAACGATTGTTGATTTGTAACGTCACGTCGAACAATACTGGAACCTATATAACTGTCCATGAACATAAATTGTATTTGTTTCAAAATGAATGTTTGGGTACACTTTCTTTTGATCGTCTGCATGTGTACCCATGTACACACATTGACTACATGTGACCTGTCATACATTACTCACATCATCCATGTAACCGGAGAAATATTTCTTATTTGTGCCAGCAGCAATACTCAAAGGGCAGGAGTTGCCAGCAGCACGAACACCTGAAACAGACCTCGAGCGTTGCATAAATCCAGTTATTTGTGTCCAGTGTTCTATGTAGTGTAATATTCTACTTTCAGTTTCAAGGAGGTCTCTAAATAGTTTTGTCTGATGTTTCATAATAGCGTATCGTAATTTTGAGATGTTTAGGCCTAAGCATGTTAAGATTGTGTTTAACAACTAGGCGTGTTTAGGGTCTAAATGGAGGAAAGACACGTATGCCCCCTTGAAATTCATCTTGGGTAATTTGAAAAAGGGGCGCTTTCATGATATTGAAGGATATTTATTTATTTATTTATTTATTTTTAATTATTTTGTGTGGGTATTTGTAGCAGTGTAAGTGTATTAATTGAATTGAGGGGGGTGGGGGGGGGTGGGGGTGGGGGGGGGGGGGGGGGGGGGGGGGAGTGTGTAACTAAAACAGTTTAAAGGTCTATCGTAGTAATCACATATACCTCCATTGTAAGCTTTCTGTATGAGAGAAAAACCATTAGTCATACAGGAAGAAGCCAATCAAAAACACTTGTCATACCTCAATCTCATTCAAATCAGATCTTAGTTCTCGCTATCGCTAAACAGAGCTGCATTTTTGGCAGCGAGAACTTAGATCTGATTTTAATGAGATTGAGGTATGACAAGTGAGATCTGAGATTGGTCATACCTCGGCGGGATACGAACCTGCAATTTCTTAATCCGTAGTCCCTTACGCTACCACCTGTGCTACCGAGACTGTTGTTCTCAAAAGTGTCCATTTTCCTGGTCACAATTATATATAACCATCTTTATGTTCACATTATGCCAAGTTTGTTGTATTGTTTGTTTGTTGTTTGACGCTGCACTCAGCAATATTCCAGCTATAAGACGGCGGTCTGCAATTAATCGAGTCTGGACCAGACAATACAGTAATTTGCATCATGAGCATCGATCCACGCAATTGGGATCGATGACATGCATCAACCAAGTCAGCGAGCCTGACAACCCGATCCCATTAGTCGCCTCTTACGACAAGCATAGTCGCCTTTTACGGCAAGCATGGGTTGCTGAAAACTTATTCTATCCCGGATCTTCACGGGTTCCAAATGATTTGAACACTCCAGAGCCGAACTATTTGTCGATCATTGTGTATTGTGAAGGTTAAGCAATAAAGGAGCTCTTTTAAAATAGTTTCTGCTTGGTGACCTCGGATATTGCGTACTGGATTGGTTTATCGATAACACTAGCTATAATAATTGTAATCGAACTGATCATCTAAAATAGTTCCTGCTTGGTGACCTCGGATATAGCGTACTGGACTGGTTTATCGATAACACTCGCTATTGTAATCGAGTTGATCATTTAAAATAGCTCCTGCTTGATGACCTCGAATATCGCGTACTGGATTGGTTTATCGATAACACTAGCTATTGTAATCGAACTGATCATCTAAAATAGTTCCTGCTTGGTGACCTCGGATATAGCGTACTGGATTGGTTTATCGATAACACTAGCTATTGTAATCGAACTGATCATCTAAAATAGTTCCTGCTTGGTGACCTCGGATATAGCGTACTGTACTGGTTTATCGATAACACTCGCTATTGTAATCGAGTTGATCATTTAAAATAGTTCCTGCTTGATGACCTCGAATATCGCGTACTGGATTGGTTTATCGATAACACTAGCTATTGTAATCGAACTGATCATCTAAAATAGCACCTGCTTGGTGACCTCGGATATAGCGTACTGGATTGGTTTATCGATAACACTAGCTATTGTAATCGAACTGATCATCTAAAATAGCTCCTGCTTGGTGACCTGGAATATCGCGTACTGGATTGGTTTATCGATAACACTAGCTATTGTAATCGAACTGATCATCTAAAATAGCTCCTGCTTGGTGACCTGAAATATCGCGTACTGGATTGGTTTATCGATAACACTAGCTATTGTAATTGAACTGATCATCTAAAATAGTTCCTGCTTGGTGACCTCAGATATAGCGTACTGGATTGGTTTATCGATAACACTAGCTATTGTAATCGAACTGATCATCTAAAATAGTTCCTGCTTGGTGACCTCGAATATCGCGTACTGGATTGGTTTATCGATAACACTAGCTATTGTAATCGAACTGATCATCTAAAATAGCTCCTGCTTGGTGACCTCGAATATCGCGTACTGGATTGGGTTATCGATAACACTAGCTATTGTAATCGAACTGATCATCTAAAATAGTTCCTGCTTGGTGACCTCAGATATAGCTTACTGGATTGGTTTATCGATAACACTAGCTATTGTAATCGAACTGATCATCTAAAATAGCTCCTGCTTGGTGACCTCGAATATCGCGTACTGGATTGGTTTATCGATAACACTAGCTATTTAGCTATTGCAATCGACCTATATATATGTGTATATGTATATATATATATGTGTGTGTGTGTGTGTGTGTGTGTGTGTGTGTGTGTGTGTGTGTGTGTGTGTGTGTGTGTGTGTGTGTGTGTGTGTGTGTTTGTTTGTGTGTGTGTGTGTCTTACCTGGGGGGAAATCAGTGGTGGCAGTTTTCTCAGATCCGCTTCTATCAGTTACCGTCAGAACTCCCTTGTCATCGTCCTTGGCAAAGTACACAGTGACCCTTCCGGTCAAGTCCTGCGGGGATAATAAAAAGCTCTGGGTAAGAAACAGGAACAAGACCGTGTGGCAACGTGGATGTATTGTAAAAACTCCCTTTGAAAATATTGGCGTGTTATAAAATACTGACATTAAATTTCGGATGGGGAAATGAGAAGAGCTTGAGTGATTTCATTTGTATTTGCTTATATTTAGAGTGATTGACATTTTCAAGCAATATCACGACGGGGGACGCCAGAAATGGCCTTCACAGATTGTACCCATGTGGGGAATCGAATACGGGCGTTCTGTGTGATGAACGAATGCTTTAACAAAGTACTATAAACCCACCCGCCTAAGCAGACGAGGGGGGAGAAGAAAAGGAGGAGAAAAACCCGTCAAGAAGCAGTAAATACATGAGTGAGTGAGTGAGTGACACACTGAAATTCGTAAGGTGGTGATAACGCAATGTCCACGTCTCGAACTCAGTTGCATTTCTTTATGTTTCGGGGCGGCCGAGTAGCCTAGTGGTTAAAGCGCTCGACGTGGTTACGTCGAAGACCCGGGTTCGAATCCCGACATGCAGTCCCCCGCCGTGATATTGATGAAATATTGCTAAAAGCGGCGTAAAACCATACTCACTCACTCTTTATATTTCATATCAAGTCAGGTACACACAAACATAGACCTGTAATTTCAAGTAACATATTGCCATAATAAACGAAAAATAATTTGCGATCTGCGTTGATTGGATTGACACATTGCAGTCAAATGTTGAATCATATCACAGTTCTGTGTAAAATATAAAATGAAGACAATGAATTATTTTTCCAGATTTATCGAACCCTCGCAGAAATGGGAGAGCTTATTGTAACTCAAAGTTTTTCTATTCTATATTCCACACCCATTCTGACGCGGACACGAACGTGTATCTGTGGAGTGACATGCAAATGCATCATCCATCGGCTATGGCCCACTTATATACTATTGGGAAACATACATTACGTACCGACCCGTGAAGATCCGGGTTAGAGTTGGTCTTCAGCAACCCATGCGTGCCGTAAAAGGCGACTGCTTGTCGTAAAAGGCTACTAACGGGATCGGGTGGTCAGGCTAGCTGACTTGATTGATGCATGTCATCGATCCCAACTGCGTATGACGATGCTCATGATGTTAATCGCTGGATTGTGTGGTCCAGACTTGATTATTTACAGACCGCCGACGTATAGGTGGATTATTGCTCTGTGCGGCGTTAAACAACAAACAAAACAAAAACATTACGTACCACTTCCTCGCTCTCTACTTCCACATGGAGATCCGTCTGGTTCTGGGGCTTGACGTAGCAGATCACGCGAGCTCTGTTCTGGCTTGTCATCCTCATCTTACACCCATAGGTTGGCTCAATGTCACAAATGCTGTTATCGGCAAGAGCGTAGTCTTGAGAGTTGCTTTGGTCGTTGTTGGGATCCTGGATATACAGGAAGTTAAACGTGAAGGAGAACCTGAGGCCAAGGTCATTTCCAGTGAGACCAGGGGCAGCGAAGGTACGACGACCCATGAAGTAGGCTGACCCTGGGAAGTCGCTGCTGCTGTTGGCGACGGTGCCGTTGCCCTGGATGGAGCTGGAGAGGCCGATGGCGTTCTTGTTTCTGGCTAGGTTCCAGGAGTTGTCGGAGGCAGAGAGGTGCACTGATGTTATGTCCTCACACTCTGAAAGAGCAGAGGTAGATGGTGGGTGAGTGAGTTGGATTTATTACCGCTTTGAACAGTGTCCAAGTTATATCACGGCGGGTCAGCGCTAGCTTAATGTGGGAGAAAGGCCCGAAGTGTTACATTTATCAGACGTTTACCTCCTAGGTGACACCCACGGGGGTATGGTACTACATACTACTAAACCTAGAAACATAATCGGGACGAAACGGGATTCGAACCCACAATCTTATGATTCTGGCGTGTCCAATGGTCGCAACTCTGTAAAGCGAATTGCGGCGCCTTAGACGACTGGATCACCCGTGATCCTAGATGGTGATTGAGTTGGCAACTGAATTAATTTGACCCGTTTAGAAAAATTTCAGAGTGACATATACAATTGGCTCAAATACGTGTGTGGATGCAGTTATATTACAGTTAAATCACGGTTTTTATTGATCACAAAAACTAGAACTAGCAACAATGATCCAGGCAGTCGGAGTACGATGACACACACACAACCAAGTCACACACTGTAACAACTCGATCCATATTAGCCGGCTCGGGTGAGTAAGTGAGTGAGTGAGTGAGTGTGGTTTTACACCGCTATTACCAATATTCCAGCAATATCACGGCGTGGGACACCAGAAAATGGCCTGCTCGGGTGAAAAGCGTTGTGTATGTGGACATTGTACATTGTTGGGAATCGAACCCGAACATGGTTGATGCATGCCCTCGTATCCAGATTGCTCGGATCGATGCTCATGATGTCAATCACTGGTTGGTCTGGCCCATTCGATTATTTACAGACCGCCGACATATAGCTAGAATATTGCTGAGTGCGCCGTAAACAACAACCAACCAACTATTGTAGCCCAGAGGCTTAAAGAGTAAAGGATGCTTACCAAAGGATACATTGTAGAGGTCACATCCACACTTGGTAGGTTCAATATGGCGGAGGGAGGCAGAGCAGGGAATGGTATAGTCCTCGGGTTTCTCTACCTGACTCCCATCAACGCTCGTGACTCTCACCCACTGTATGGAGCGATAGTACTTGTCGTCGTCCACGGCAGAGCATGTCTCATTCACTGTGAAAATTAATAAATGCATGTGTCAGGCTCAGTGAGTGAGTGAGTGAGTATGGTTTTACGCCGCTTTGAGCAATATTCAAGCAATATCACGGCGGGGTGCACCAGTAATGGGCTTCACACATTGTACCCATGTGGAGAATCGGACCCGGGTCTTCGGCGTGACGAGCGAATGCTTTAACCATATGAGTATCCTCTCCTCCTATTAATTAACGTCGTTTTGAACTGTATTTCATTTATATTATGACCTCTCGGCATAATGTAGCGAAAAGGGTAAAAACGACAACGGTAGACATTAAGCACTTTGGTGCTGACAGACCAAGGTCGATTACAGGACTGGGACTCGAAACCCAGAACCAGATCCTATCGTGGCTGAGAGACGCATGAAAGGGGAAAATGGGGAAAGGTTGAAGACTTTAAACACGTTCGTGGTGACAGGAGAGAAACTGGTACTCGATCCCACAACGCGTCTAAGGGACGCCACTCTGCAGAGCAAATTGCATCGCCTTAGATCACATGACCACGGCCCCCTGGAGAAAGTGCTACATGCAGAATAACGGAGTTACATGAAAATATATATTTCGAAACTATTGGTCCTATAGCGGCTAAGGGACGCCACTCTGGAGAACAAGATATTAGTCAAATAGTAAAACACAAAACCAATCAGGTTTCATAACGTATATCTTGATGAACGATGATGTAAGGGTACCACTGACGTCTTGTGTCAACAAAGAAACACATACTAACAAAAGAACATATCAATATCATTTACAACGGCATCTTGTTTCCTTTGTTCTATGTATGTAATGCTATTTGTTTTCAATCCTAATTTTGTCAATAAGGCTCACTGTTTACTCTTGATATATTCTTAAATAGAAAAATTTAAATATGTTAAAAAAAAACAACACTTTGTTTCATCTATATTCAAGGGAGAATATCATACTGAAGACCTGGGGATATTTGCCATGATGCTGTTATTGGAATCAACTATCTAGGTGATATCATATAAATCACGCAATGACTTGATACGGTGTCATGTTGGTATAAATCATTGTTCTAGTTATGGTTTAAGATAAAGAAAGAGTTTAAAGAAATGTTTTAGCATTTCCACCGTTTGAAGAAAACACGGTGTACGTAATATTACACATATGACATATATAATAGAAATGGGCTTCACACATTGTACCCATGAAGGAAATCGAACCGGTCTTCGGCGTGACGAGCGAACGCTTTAACCACTATGCTACCCGGCCGCTCAACTAACCAATGCATTTTGAATACGTGGTGCCAAGATGAAGCAACACGTTAAGGCACATTAGTTTGAAAGATCTTACACAGCTGTCGGTCTAGTACCGGAGGGCACTGGATATCACATTCCCCTGAAAACAGGTTGAAACCGAAGCCGGAAGGACAGAACTCAGTCTCGTATAGGTTGTCCCGACACACCTGGTAGGGCCCGCAACTCACGGTGTCCGTTGGTATTCTCTGTCCCAGGTCACAAGGATCTGGAATTAAATAAAAACGTACACAAAAATGCTTGTTTTTTGTTTAACGCCACACTATATATATTTCGGCGTACTGTAAATAATGGGAGCAGACATACTACTGATTGATATTATGTGCAACGATACCCACCTTCATGGTAGGGTCATACAACCCATTAACAGAGCCTGATCATTTAGTGTGGCTTAGATGCTGTCACGATTAATAATCTTTGTCGGGACAAATCACAACGTGGAATATAACAGGTGTACGCGTTAATACACTTTGAGGTTCATCGAAAATGGATCTGAAGGTACCGAACGTTCTAACTTTGTTGAAAGAGGGGATAAATAAATTTTTTTCTTAATTCATATGGACGAAACAGCAACATTGCCAGAAGTAAGAGCTTAAAATTGACGTAGGGGAAATTATGAATTATTTTCTTAATTCATATGGACGAAACTGCAACATTGCCAGAAGTAAGAGCTTAAAATTGACGTAGGGGAAATACGAATTATTTTCTTAATTCATATGGACGAAACAGCAACATTGCCAGAAGTAAGAGCTTAAAATTGACGTAGGGGATAAATGAATTATTTTCTTAATTCATATGAAAGAAACAGCAACATGGCAAGAAGTAAGAGCTTAAAATTGACGTAGGGGAAATATGAATTATTTTCTTAATTCATATGGACGAAACTGCAACATTGCCAGAAGTAAGAGCTTAAAATTGACGTAGGGGAAATACGAATTATTTTCTTAATTCATATGGACGAAACAGCAACATTGCCAGAAGTAAGAGCTTAAAATTGACGTAGGGGATAAATGAATTATTTTCTTAATTCATATGAAAGAAATAGCAAAATCGCAAGAAGTAAGAGCTTAAAATTGACGTAGGGGAAATATGAATTATTTTCTTAATTCATATGAAAGAAACAGCAAAATCGCAAGAAGTAAGAGCTTAAAATTGACGTAGGGGAAATATGAATTATTTTCTTAATTCATATGGACGAAACAGCAACATTGCCAGTAGTAAGCAAATCTTGAGCAAATGATGATCATAAACATCCAGCCCCTTCCCAGATTATCAAATTGTTGTTCCTCATACACGTCAAGTAGTGGAAATTCTACGTACGTCCCACTCTGCTGCAGGCCTCTCTGTTGTATTGTTCAACACAGATGCTCTGTGACTCGTCGTATACCTGGCCAAGTCCACAGGTATGGCCGTAGATGAAGACTTGGTTGGGGAAGCTGACGCACTGCATGTACATGTTGCAGGCATTCGGGTGAGCGTATGTCGTGCTGTGACGGCCGACACACTCCACACATCCAGCTGAAATAGACGTGAGAGGGTGAGTTGGTGAGTGGGTGAGTGGGTGAGTAGGTGAGTCAGTGGGTGGTGAGGTGTGTGGGGGAGTAGGTGAGTGGGTGGGTTGGTGGGTAGGTGGGTGAGTGGGTGGGGAGGTGTGGGGGAGTAGGTGAGTGAGTGGGTTGGTGGGTTGGTTGGTGGGGGAGTAGGTGAGTGGGTTCGTGGGTAGGTTGGGCGGGGAGTAGGTGAGTTGATGGGTTGGTGGGTTGGTGGGTTGGTGGGTGGGGGAGTAAGTGAGTGGGTGGGTTGGTGGGTGGGGGAGTAGTTGAGTGGGTGGGTTGGTGGGTGGGGGAGTAGGTGAGTGAGTGGGTTGGTGGGTGGGGGAGTAGGTGAGTGAGTGGGTTGGTGGGTGGGGGAGTAGGTGAGTGAGTGGGTTGTGGGTAGGTTGGTGGGGCAGTAGGTGAGTGGGTGGGTTGGTGGGTAGGTGGGTGGGGGAGTAGGTGAGTGGGTGGGTAGGTGGGTGGGGGAGTAGGTGAGTGGGTGGGTTTGTGGGTAGGTAGGTGGGGGTGTAGGTGAGTGGGTTGGTGGGTAGGTTGGTGGGGGAGTAGGTGAGTGAGTGTGTGTGTGTGTGTGTGTGTGTGTGTGTGTGTGTGTGAGTGGCTGAGTGAGTGAATAGATGAGTGGGAAAGTGGGTCGGTGAGTGAGTGAGTGAGTGTGTGGTTGGTTGAGTGAGTGAGTGGTTGAGTAAGTGATCGAGTGAATAAGTGAGTGATTGAGTGATTGATTGAGTGTATGAGTGGTTGAGTGAGTGAGTGGTTGAGTGAGTGAGTGGTTGAGTGAGTGGTTGAGTGAGTGAGTGAGTAATTGAATAACGCCATAAACAATATTTCAGTTACACACATTGTGGAAGGAAATTCGAATGATACACAAGGCGTAGATGCTTCCCACCATTACCTTTTTCAGATTCGAACCTACGTTCAGCAGATCCTTGCATAGCTGAGGGAAGCGATGCAAACAGCTAAGCGCAGCTCTTTAGACCAGTGGGGTCACTTCAATCGTCGACAAAGTTCAAGCAATTTTCATGGCAAGACACACCCCAAATAGACTTCCCACTTATCAATTCCTGGGGACAAACCTGTGTTTTCGACTAGACAAGTCAAAGCATCAGCCAACAGGATTTCCTCCTCCTCCACCCCCCCCCCCCCCCCCCCCCCCCCCCCTGGTACTTGATGTGGTCGTAGCATGAGTGGTTAATATGAAGTTGATATTTTTAGGGCATTTTCTTCGGTGTCAGTACACCTATTTATGTAAAAACACTTTCTAGAACCATTCAACGCATATCCGACTATTAGAAGCACAGTATGTTTGTGTAAAAGTAGCTCTTGCGCCGCACCACTTTCAGTTATTTTGCACATGTAAAACAAATGGAGCATTCTCCGAAATTGCGATCATTCGAAATGCAATGTCTCATCAAAAGTTTATCAAAAGCAATATTGTTAATGATGGACATTTTTACGACAATTGCACAATGTGACTTTTGTTTCACAGTTTATCAATTGCTTGAAGATGAGAAATACGTTTCAGTTTCTTGATTTGTCAGATCAACAATATCAACACATGTACGGCGTTTTCTCCACAATGAATGTCCACTCCAAATATGTTGTTTTAGTTCAGTTATATATACCACAGATGCAAGACACAGCGTCATTAACTTGCAAATACATGATTATAGATATACTTTCTTAACATTCAGAAGAATTTGTAAAAATACAATGCCAAGAAGAGAATGCCAAGTTTTCCCAGAAGTCTTTATCCCTACGAGTCTCGTTTTCTACGACGAAGACTCACGTGATAGTGGCGTTGGGTCACTTTGCAGTGACTGTGAGGTTTGTTGAATTATTCATAATACAACAGACAATGTCTTATATGCATAATGCTTGTTTGTTTGTTATTTAACGCCGCACTCAGCAATATTCCAGCTTTATGACGGCGGCCTGGAAATAATCGGGTCTGGACCAGACAATCCAGCGATTGACATCATGAGCATCGATTCACGCAATTGGGATACGATGACATGCACCAACCAAGTCAGGGAGTCTGACCACCCGAACCCGTCAGTCGCCTCTTATGAAAAGCATAGTCGCCTTTTACGGCAAGCATGTGTTGCTGAAGACCAGACCTACCACGGATCTTCATGGATCGAATTTCCACATTTCCACTCCAATCACATGGCCTAAATATAGAGAGAGAGTGAGCAAGATTTCACACCCCTTTTAGCAATTTATTCCAGAACATCACGGCGGGGGGCGCCAGAAATAGGCTTTACACATTTCCCCTTGTGAAACTCGAACCCGGTCTAATGTGACGAGCGTACACTTGAACCACCAGGCCACGGTCCTAGTAAAATGATGGTGATGGTGAAATGGGGTTTAACGTCGCGTCCAAGATTATTGCACTTATATAGCGACGTGCATGCACGTGTGTGTGTGTGTGTGGCTGCTTGTACTAGTCCGGACTGATGCCGATTTATAGTGCTAGCTCACTGAGATACCATGCCTCAGTTTAACATGAATACCCCACTCAGACACAGTAAACTGACTCCGAGCCGACCAGTCCTTGTTTTAGCCCCTTAATGCCGAGCGCCAGACAGGGTAACAACAAGAACCATCTTTTAACGTCTTTTGGTATGACGCGGTCGGGGATCTAACCCCGGACCTTCCGCTCTCCGGGCGGACGCTCTACCACTAGACCACGGAGGTTGTCCTAGTAAAATGAAATGTTCGCAGTGACATTAACTGACGAACAGAGGACCCCGAATTGTAAAGCGAAAAACTTCTTGGATTATTATAGCTTACCTTTATAGAACTCAAGCGTTTCATTATAAGCTGCATCCGTTGATGTATCTCCAAACACTTTGGGCAGGGCAAACAAGCTGAAGGTTCTGGCTTTGTATGCTGTTATATTGATATCCTGACCATTAACAACGCCACTGCTCCCTAAGCCCAGAAGGGCAAGCAATACTGAAGCAAGCATCGTCCTGAAGGTAGTGTGTAGTGACTTAATGAAAGCGTAACTTTGTTCGTCTCTTTATATAGCGTGACCGATGTTAATTAGATGCGTTTTGGAGTGGCTTTCCGGTGGTTTAAACATACCTACGGTAGGTGAGCTTACGTAATATGTCATTTACACTAACCTATAGCGGGATGGCCTCATGTCAGAGGTCACACCACACGTGCTTGTGTAATTAAGTGTCGGAATCCCAAACAATAGCTGCATCATTGGGTAGTGTCATCAGATGTTGACTACATGCAGGAAACGTGGGCTGGGGGGGAAGTAGGGCATTTCCGTAGAAGGTTAAACGTTTTTTATACTTGTAATCTCGTCGTATGCGACGTTAATAATAACTAAAAACGACCAAATGTCCATAATCATAAGAAATCCTTGCTAGAAGCAGAGTCCATTGTATAATTCCGACTGTGTCATGTGTTAATGAATCAATATCCAATAGTGATTGTACCAGGTGTTTGCGAAAAAGGTGAGCGTTTCCTACCCCACTGGTGTCACCCGTCACAAAAACATGTTAAGTTTACATTAACGCGGGGGATACACACGGAGAGACTCAACAAATCTCGAATGAACATGCGAGAAGCCAGGGTGTCCAAACAACCAACAACTCTCTCGGAGCCTTCTAACCATTCAATACTCAGTATACAGTAAACTACGGTTATAACGAACTCGAATGAACATGCGAGAAGCCAGGGTGTCCAAACAACCAACAACTCGTTCGGAGCCTTCCAGTCATTCAATGATCAGTATACAGTAAACTACGGTTATAACGAACTCAAAGGGGCCACTTATTTTAGTTCGTTATAACCGTAGTTCGTTATAAGCATATGTACATCATATATGCAGCAAATGACCGGGGCCAAAAGAAATACGTTCGTCATATCAGACGTTATCAGCTTGTACGTTATAAACGTAGTTTTCAGTATATACATGTACGTAAAATAAACTCAGACAAGGTACTGAACTTCTATACACACACGGCGCCCCTTATATCAAACTTAAAGAAAATGAAGAACAGTGTCGGGCCATAGAGACTTTGACAAATATATTTATTGCCCCAAACACACTTCTATTGCTGTGACAAAAACAGCAGTCCCATCTTTGAAATACAGGATACATATTCTGACTTCCAGAAGAAGGTATAAGATATGATTTGCAGATGTTTGTAATTAAGAAGATACTCTGAACAAATATTTCACTTCGAGTTGTTAACATAAGTAAACATCAGGATTCAGAAGCTTGTATTTAATTACCAGTAATGAAAGTAGTCTTCAGGTAAACAGTAGTAAGTCAACTGATGGTTATACTATAGTGTAATTTCATACCACCTAATTAGTGTAAGATTCTTCAGAAATCCTATCATAACAGACTGAGAGAGTGACTTGAGTTTCACGCTCATTTGAACACGATACCAGAGCAACAAGGTATAATAGATAATTGTTGTTACGCAAATATAACAAACTAATTTATTTTGAAAACAGAACTTTAAGGAAAATATGTTGCATAGAAATGTATATATTAAATGATGACCAACTCCCACGCATTATGTAAAGTAATCAATTGGCCAAATGCTTAATATCTAATATATCAAAAACTGAAAAAGACAATAATTGAATGGATTTAGGTCTTGTTCTTCTCAGTTAAAACTTTGAATACTAAGCGTATCAAACATATGTATTTCCCTGCGAAGCCCATATCAGAGCAACTATTGAAAAAAGATTAATTTGTGTGAAAACATGTATTTTGTGCAGAGAGAAAGTTAGACCCCAGTGTTCACGGGAAAACAACATTCCCTATGAAGAAATTCAACTTATTATTAAAGAGTATCAATATTGCTTTACACGAACGACACGAAGGTAGCATGGTTTTCGTGCATTCAACAGAGCTATCTCAGAAAGACTTTTATGCACTTCAGATAATTCAAACATCATGAAAGTGACTATCCTAGCACGACGATTTCTATGTAGGGATACAAGATGGCATGTGTCGCCATTGCCTTTGTAGAGGTGATCTGGCATCGTCTCTTCAGGATCCAGAACTGTTCATATAGTGGCATGTATATGAGTGACGTGCTGCTCGCGGGTTATGTACATTTTACAACGACGCGCAAAGGGTCACTCGAGTCCATGAAGGTCAGTGCAAATACCACCTCTTGTCTGCTTAATGTCAACTCAACCGGTATTACTGAACCGTTTGACACGTTACTGAAGGGCTATTGGCAATTAATTTTGAAACGAACCAGCTCGTCAACACAGTCTCTGACGCCAACAGTTGTTTTCGAAGTCCATGGAGAAAAGGATACCTATAGGGATTAATAATTATAATTAAAGCGACGGAATAGTGAACTGCAAGGTTGAAAGGGTGAGAGAAAGACAGAGAGAGGGAGGGGTGAAAAAGACAAAGAGAGAGACACAGAGAAAGGGAGAGAGGGAAAGCGAGAGAGGGGAAGAGACAGAGAGAGACACACAGAGACAGTGAAAGAGGGAGAAAGACAGAGTGAGTCACACGGAGAGAAGGGGAGAGAGCAGAGAGAGACACACACAGAGAGTGAGAAGGAAGGAGGAGAGAGAGAGACAGAGACAGATAGAGGCACACAGTGAGGAGGAGGGAAAGAGACACATAGAGAAAGACACACAGAGAGCCACAGAGAGACTCACAGAGACAGAGAGAGACAGTGGGACACACAGAGAGAGCCACAGAGAGAGGGAGAAGGGAGAGACAGACAGAGAGTGACACACAGATAGGAGAAAGAGGGAGAGAGATACAGAGAGAGAGAGACAGAGCGCGAGAGAGAGTGAGATAGAGGGAAGAGAAAGAGGGAGAGAGAGAGAAACACAAAGAGAACCAGAGAGAGAGAGAGAGACAGAGAGAGAGAGGGGGAGAGAGTAAGAGAGACAGAGAGGGGACAGCGGATCAATATAAAACTGAAGAATTATTGGCAGTCATGTGATATAAAACCTCATACTCCGACTTTAACTTGGAGGCTTGTCAATTGATATGCGGAATACAGTCCTTCAAATAACATCACAGGCGAATTACGTCAGCAATATTGTAGGCACGTACATTCGTGACAAATTTGATACACCTGTCGGTAGGGAAGAAGCACAGTTGTCATACAAATTTCTTGTATTTATTTTGGCTGTAAATAGAGGCGTTACCAGTTTGTGTGCATGTATTGTGTCACTGCATCTACCGTACATGATTGTTGTATACTTGAATTGCGGAGCATGTATCACAGAATATGCAGGTAGCTTCGTTACTAATTATTAAAAGAACCCACAATATTTGCTGTTTGTGTACAAACAAACCTTAACTCATCCTAGACCTGTCGAGAACCATCCTAGACCTGCCCCACCTGGGTCCCGCCTTAGCCCCAGGCCCATATTAAAGGCGTCCTAGTTCCATATTAGAACCTGCCTAGGGTCCCTTCCTAGATGCATTGGGTCGGTCGGGTAGCCCAGTGGTTAAAGCGTTCGCTCGTCACGCCGAAGACCCGGGTTCGATTCCCGACATGGGTACAATGTGTGAAGCCCATTTCTGGTGTCCCCCGCCGTGATATTGCTGCAATATTGCTTAAAGCGGCGTAAAACCATACTCACTCACTCACTCCATTTTTGACTATGTTCTTTGGACTGTATAGAATAGGATATCTGATTATTCCTATCAAAAGTTGATGAGCATATAATGAGAATGGAATCGATACACCGACACATTATTGTTGCTTTATGTGTATAACAGTAAAAGCACATTCTTACTATACATCAACATAACAGTACAGACTTGTTCAGTGAGTGAGTATGGTTTTACGCCGCTTTTAGCAATATTCCAGAAACATCACGGCGGGGAATAACCGGGAATGGGCTTCACACATTGTACCCATGTCGGGAATCGAACCCGGATCTTCGGCGTGACGCGCTAACGCTTAAGCCACTAGGCTACCCGACCGCCCCCAGACTTGTTCAGAAGGTGGGAAAGTTCATATTAATGCACAGATTGCTGATGGAAATTTCATACACTAATTCATGCAACTTAAACAAATAGAATAATCCTCAGAACATTGAAATCGTAAAATTTTCTGTATATGTGCAAACAATACTCGTAAGATCATGAGTGCTTGAAGGATTCAAGCGATAACTTTCATTCGATGCATTCATATGTATCGTTACTAACGAAACCAAATAATCTTTAAAATCAAAGAGTGATATGTATAAAAGTAGTAAAGAAATATCTTCAACAATTAACTATACGTTTTGATAACTATGAAACAAATAACGATAAAAAACATCACCCAGGAACAAAGATCATGTATCGTAGTAAGTTTGGCAGTGTGTAGGTTTTAACAGGAGGTTTATACTAATAAATCTTTACAGTGCTGCCCAATACAAATTATAACAGCAACTGGGCTATTATTACCATGGTCAGCAGCACGGAGTCAAGAGCGGGTCAATGGTTTCTGATCAACCCTAGAGAATGACCGGTTGGCCACTGAAGTTTTACATTGTGAATGAGGTGAGGGATACTTCAGACTGACCAGAGAGGTATCGTATTCGATACGTGGCAGCTGTTCAGTGATATGACTGGTTAAGGTTAGAATACATTCTGTTGGTCGGGACTTGACCCTAGGACAGCGGCTGGGTAGGTTGGCTCTCTGACACCTCTGAGATGCTTCCTGGCTATGTCTGTCCCGTTACCATAACCATGCTTGTGTAGATGCTGTATTTATTACATCCCCAATAAAGTGTTGTGGACCCATGGATGGACTCCCGTGTTTGAAGGACGATATCCTAAACTATCAGCCCGGGATATGTTTCAAAATTATATTCGCGCAGTAAAATACAAATGCTTGGTTAACTTCGTTAGCTGTCCTCGCCAGGGGGATGCGCCAATGCTATCTCCTTTGGTATTTACTCTTCAAATTTTTCACCTCAAGCCTACCCTATTCAAACAGAAATTTAAGCCCTTAATTCAAACTCCGTTGTGTGTTAGAGAGGGATTGAGTGTCCT